AAAATTTTTTCCAACTTTTGAAGGCAAAAAAGCTATCAAAATCTTTATTTTTTTCTTTCACGACATTTTTTTATCATAAATGCGCTGTAAAAACAAGAGCAGAATTTGAAAAAAATTTTTAAAATGTTAATTTAAATGGAGTTGACCCCACTTGTAAATAATTATCTTTTTGGTAATTATTTACTAGTGGGGTCAACGATTTAATTTTAATTTTTTTTAAAGAAATTTCTATTTGATTTTATTGGTATATTTTTTTTTTGAAAAATACACAAAAAATGAACAATAAAAAAAAGTTGACTATCACAATTTTAACAAATTTTTATGAATAATTACCATATTTTTTTAGTTTTTATTTAATTAAAAACAAAAATTTTTAAGTGTCTCCTGATTGCCTTATCATTATTTATTCCGATTTTCAGGATACTCTGGAATTTTTTGTCTAAGAAGAACATAAAAAATTAATTATTATTAAAATTAATAACGCATTTATGATTAACTACTAATCATTATGAATTTAGTGGACTAATTGATCTTCGTTTGAAAAAATTTAATTATGAAATCTGATATCTGATCATTTTTTTATTATTTTAGAAATTATACCAAAGAAAATATTTAAAAAAATTACATTCATGATTTTTTTAAATTCATAATAATTTACTCTAAAAAATTTTGTCAATACTAACGTCAACCGGCTGAATAAAAAATTAAATATCGCAAATATTGTTATCTTAACAAAAATTTACATGTCAAATACATGCATTTAAAAAATTATGAAATTTTTTGCTATTTTACTTTTTTTATCATTAAAATTCGAAGAGACTAAAAATAATTAAATTTATTTATTAAGCAACAAAAAATATTTAAAGCAAAATTTTTTAAGACTGAAAAATACGTCGCGAAATTATAGATATAAATTGTAATTGAGTGATTGATTAGTAATAACTGTAATCACGCGTGATAATTTCCTGTGTGTAAATTTACTGTATTGATAGTTAGTATGCAATATTGGATTGATGAAGCAACCAAGGGGCCACTGATCAGAACTATTTTAATTCAATCCAATGGGAAATCACTCAACGATTCATCTTCACCGTAATTGTATATTCAATTCACTTTTTTTTTTTTTTTTCTTCAATAGTACTACGCCTCAAATTAACTTTGAATTCTTTAAATTCATCCAATATTAATAATATTATTCTTCATACAACAATATATTTGTAATACATGTCTCAGAAATAATAATATTCCATAATTAATAGACCAATTATTAAGAAATACTTAATTATAATTTTCCTAAAAAAAATCAACGGTAATTATATAAAAGTTTCTAAAAGTTTAAACAAAAACAAATTACGTATTTTAGATTGAATAAAGTATACTTAAAATAAATTTCCATCACCAAGATGCATTCCACGAGTAATTAGAGAAAACAAATATTGAGAGTAGAATTTTTTTTTTTTTTCAAGTAAAAAAAAAGAAGCCTACGAAGCGTTGAAGTTGAAAAAACAATTTAGTTTCACGAAGTTGTCTCCAGCAATATTCTTTAATATAATTACAATTATAAATAGAAACTCTATGAATTATTTATGTTAAAATAAAATACTTGCATTAATATTCATAGTACACCAATCAATTCCATTGATTAAAAAAAGTTTACCGTCATCTCCGGTATTTTTTTTACTTCTGAATTGATATTTATTTCTTCATAAACAAAAAATTTACCACATTCAGGGAATGAAGATTATTCATAATTTGACATTCGTCTCACTAGAAAAAAAGAAAAGTTAAATTAAAATATAAAATTACTTAGTAAACAATTTAATTAAATTTCATTGAACACATCAATCTGTAGTGTTGGGGGTTTTTAAACTAAACATGTACATGGATCATCAATATCACTCACCGATGGAGTGAAAAGAAATAAAAAACTTTTAATCAACAGAATAAAAAATTGTATTTTCAAGCACTGGATAATCTCGACAAGCACGAACATGAATAATAATTGATTTTCCGTTTTGCACACGAATGTTAACTTGTTTCGTATATCTATCCGGAAATTCCGACTTAAAATAAATAATTATAAGCGCCTGCATTCCCGGGGTTAAATGTTCTTTTTTTTTTTTTACATTAAATAGCCATGATAAGACGAAATTTAGAACCTTCTGATTTTTATCTACTTGATATCTTGTTATTGTTACTTAAATTTTTAATTACCGCTTTTTTCAACAAGTAATTATAAACTACTTTTTTTTTTTTTTTTAAGTAACTAATTTACTTTAAGAACAAAATTAACTCTGTAAAGTTCATTAAGCTGATAATTATCAAACTAAATTTCTACTAGCAAAACAATAAATATTATTTTTCGAGTAATTATCCCAGAGTAATTTGCCTACATAATTATTTTAATAGTAATGTAATCATTAGACGTAAAAAAAGTGAAAGTAAGATACTCACAGTTGAAAAAAATTAAACAAGATCGATTTTATTTTAGACTGTCGACTTGTCTGCTAATTTTATTCTACTAGATATCACATCCAGCGGAATTTTCTTGATAATCTATATTATTAAGAGAATAAGAAAAATTTTGTTTTCAGGATAGTCATATGATAAAATCGTTTTTTTAAGTGAAATTTAGTGTCATTGCAAAGGTCTTGACTTGAATTTGTGCCTTTTTAAAATTTCATTCTAATTCTCAACGATAGTCAATTTATTATGCTAAGTATTTAGGCTGCATTCGAAAATGCTTTGTCTCTAGATACATAATTAAGAAATGACCTTTTATTTTGTGAAATATTGACATTTTTAAAAATATAAGCTCATCCCGATGTTACACTCATCGAAACCTTTCATTTGAGTACCCACATCAATTTTTCATATATTTATATATATTACATATATGTATATATGAAAAATATATCAAAATTCATGTGGGTACTCAAATGAAAGCTCTTGATGAGTGTAACATCGGGATGAGCTTACATCGTTAAAAACGTCAATTTTTAAGAAAGTACAGTGCAATTCAACAGATGTCTTGTGAAATATTGAGATTTTTAAAGATATAAGCTCACCCTGACATTATACTCATCGAGACTTTTCATTTGAGTACCCACATCAATTTTTCATAAATTTATATATATTATATGTATATATGAAAATGCATGTGGGTACTTAAATGAAAGCTCTTATATCTTTAAAAACGTCAATATTTAAGAAAGTACAGTGCAATTTAACAACAGTCATTATTTAATAAAATAAAATTTCAATTTTTTATAGTTCACAAATCACGGCAGTCACATAGTAGTGACTGCAAGGTTGCTAGTTAATATTAAATCACTAGGATAAACAAGTGAAAATCTGTCCGCTGTAATTACATCTTTAGTTTCACTACCAGCGGCAATTACTTTCCCTGTGGCTTCTATTTCTTCAATCAATCGTCTATAATTAACCCACTCCTGTAAAAAAAAAAAAAGAAATTAAATAAAAATACATGGATATGAATTAATAACATGTAATTAAAGTACCTTTGTAATAAATTCTGGCAAATCCGCGTCGCTTAGTTTCTTCATAGATATTTTTCATTAATTTCCATATATTTACATTTATAAAATATTTCACTTAATTTATCATATTTACGCAAAATATATCACATAAAATTATACAAATAATGAAATAATTAATTAGAAGTATTATATCATGTAAGAACGTATTTTTTTTATTGGACTCTTACATTAAACGAATGTCATTACCCCACATTAATAATATTTTCTCAATCATACTATTACCATACGCTCTGGAATTCTTTCACTCTTTTTAACTACTTGTAATTAATTAATTACTCTGCTCGCATTCACCAGGGTAATCCGACATTGAAGAAATAAGAGATTTATTAATCGAGTACACACTTAATATTAAAGTTTAATAATTAATTAATTTTGTATTTTTTTTCTTGTTTTTCATTATTTTCTCACGAGAGCTAACTAATCACACGAGACATTAGACAAAACCTCGTTTTTTAAATTAAAAAAATTATTGTTTCTATACCATTCACCTCCCCATCACTTGCACTTAATCTAAAATTAATGTATTTTATTATATTATAATTTTTTTTTTTTTAGTATTTTTGTTCATTGGTGCTAATCAAATAATAGAATAATAATTAATGAAAAATTTAAACTAAATATATTGTGTAGCTCTCTCTTACGATTGTAAAATATAAAATTCCAGGTGATTATTATTTATTTATATAGTAATTATTGATAATGGTTTTATGATTAAAACAATTAAATATAATTTTATTAAATCTATTGTATTACGTGTTTTTTTAAAATGTGAAATAGGTGAATAGCTTAATAATTGAATTGTATATTTGTGTTTATAATCTATAGCAATGCAAATAAATTTGCAGTTACAATTTTTTTTTAGACGTGAAAAGTAAAATATTTATAAGAGCGAATCTTCGTTACATACTGAATTGTCTAAAATACAATTTATTTAATTTAAACTTATTAAATCTAAATTATTATTAATTTTATTTTTTAAGGAATTTTTTTATAATTAATGACAATTATTTTTTATTCAGTTGTTTCTTGCTTGATCTATTAAATGTTTTTTTTTTTTTTTTTTTTTTTTAATTAGCATCTTTACATTAATTATTTAATTAACTGATAAAAAGCGAGCCATTTTACGTGATATTTTTATCATCATAGTCATCATCATCGTAATCGGTAGTCGTACAGAGCTAACGATTCTTACATATATACATTAATAATTTTTTTTAAATTATCTTCTATGCTTTTTATTTTTTTCACGTAATTTATACTGTAGATAATATTCATTTGTTTTTGAATTGTCATATGATATTACTATTGTTGGACGTTAACCCTTACAACGCTGTTTTCATCAAACTTAATGCAAGTTTTATCATGTTTTGTATTGAATATAATATATTTATATATAAAATTTTTTCCTTTTCATATTTATAATTAAAAAACACCTTAGACTCATTTGTCGAGTTCTAAAGCAGCATACTGTTCTTCATCGACTTCAGTCATCATTAAATTACCATCAGGAAGTAGAAGAACAACTCTTCTTGTGCCACCTAAAACAGAAAAATTATTTTAATATAATTAAAAAATAAAATTTGGTAGTTATAATTTTTTAAAAACTAAATGTCTCGATTTTGTCCACAAAAAATAGTTTAAATAATTTTAATAAAAGTTTGTCAGTGAATTTTCTTTTAATCAAGGTAAAGTACCCAGTAGTTTAAAAGTTTTACAAGTAAAACGTATTTGACCCTACTTTTAATATATAAAGATGTAATTTTTAGTTTAAATTAGTGATTTTCAAGAAAATATAAACAATTTTAAATTGATTAAAGCGGAAAATAACAAAAATAATTTAAAATTTATATTTTGACGACGTTTTTAAGATATTTTATCAATAGAGTAGTAGTTAAACTGATAAAATATATGGCAATAGGCACACCAAAAATTTTCAACGTTTTATTGAAATATCAAAAAAATTATAGCATATTATTGAATAATATTAAAAATAATACTGTGAATATTTAACATGTTCATTTAAAAATGAGAAATATTTGTATTTAATTATTTAATTACATTTTTTATGAAAGACAAAGCAAATTTTCAATTATAAATAAAAAAAAACTCACTTAAAATGATGTACCGTTTTTTTTTACTGATTGTTCGGTTTATGATTTAGTACCTTTTTCATAAAAAAAAAAAAGCATCTATCGGCGATTCTCGACATGTCAACTTTCAAGTTAACAAAATTATGATTCTTTTGATTTATAATTGAAAAAACTTAAAGAAATCAATTACTGTATCATTGAATAATTATAACATGCGCATATTACTTATAATAAATAGGGTAAAAGACCCCATTAGTAGCGGAAACCCCATTACTGCCACTTTCTTCGATTTTGGTACTTATTCAATTAATGAAATCGTTAATTTTAATAATAAATATATTATTTCTAATCTTTAAGTCCTTTAGATCAAAAAAATTTTTAATTTTCATTCCAAGTAGAACATTTTTTCATTGAAAGAAAAAGTGCCACTAATGGGGTCTTTCATCTTATACGGACTTTATATTATAACAATTCGAAAAGTCTGTTCAAGTACTGGGTACTTTACCTTACTAAAAAAAAAAAAAAAAAAAAAATAATAATTTCACGATTTATCTGAAGAATAATTTTTTTCAAAATAAGAATTTTGACCCAAATCCGTGACATTTTTAGATTTTTCAATAATACAACCACCAAATAATTGAAATAAAAAAAATAAAATTTACCTGGCGTTGGTTCATCAGCTTGAACAACTTGAGCTACTACTTGAGCTTGTCCTTCGGAGTCTTCTTGACCCCCAACAGCTCCCGCAGCGGAATTATCCATAATGGACATGACCATTTGATTTTCAGTGGCTTCGCCTTCGCCCTCTTTAACGTAGAACTGCGGTGCGAGATTAACCTGATCAGGCATGAGCTGAGCAACAGCTTCAGCAACAGCATGATCAAGAGTAAGAACAGAGCCTTCATCGCCCTGTTGTTCAGTCGTAACATAGACACACTGCTGCTCACCGTCAGCACCGCGAGTCACTAATAATGTTTGACCATCTTCAGCATGACCTGCAACTTGGTATACAACACCATCCTCACCCGTGATAGTGACAACATTCGACGCGTCATCGGCAACAACCTTCCTTTCCTCGTCTTTTATTTCTTGCTTAACATTAGCAACATTTGAAGCCGAGCTTGTAACTATCGTACCCGTCAGTCCAGTCGTTGTCGCAATAGCGTCAGAGGCTATTGTCTCTGTGAGTGAGACTGTGGACTGTACTGATGTAACTGAAGTCGTCGCAGTGTCATCTAGACAAGGAAGATCTGGGGCTATTGTTACACCTGCAAGACTTAACTGAGCGGTGGGATCAGTGCTGGCTTGGACAATCGTACCTGTTGTACCACCCGGGCTCATTTCCACGCGCATTATACTATTAGTCTCTGTAAGTGACTCCAATGAAGGTAGAACCAACTCTGTTGTTGTCGTCGTGGTGCTGGATGAGGTGTCCATACTCTCGCTGGCTGAAGTCGTCGCTGTAACGGTTGTACCTGTAATAGAAGATGCTGCTGTTGTATCCACTGAAGTATGGGATGTGGTTGGCTCGGCCTCAGCTACTGGCTCACCATCCTCGCCTATGATTCGCCCAGTCAACGGACACAGGGTGAACGGCCTCTCAGGACTCTCCGGTGGATTCTGCGGAATATTACATAAATTATCGGCTTCTGATGTAACCTGATCAGGTCCGGCTTCATCACTGCTCTCTTCGCTTCCTACTTCCTGAAATTCCATGTGAAGTCCATCGCTGGCGACTATCTTAGTCTCCTTAGGCTTTCCTGGAGTTGCTACTGGTGTTGTCGTTGTTATTTTACCACGTCCACGTCCAGCTGGTGCTTTGGTATTTACCATGGTCTTCATTGGCGTCTTAACAACTCCCTGAGGTGTAAGCTCTTGAGTCTTTCTCTTGGTCATAAGAGTTTTTTGCTGAGGTGATATCAAAGACTGGGTTTGTTTATTACCCGGACTTAATTTATTACCAGGTGATTGTTTCAACTGCGCTGAACTTACAACAGTTTTGACAATCTGATTCGGTGATGCAATGTATTTAGCCCGTAATTGAGTTTGTTGGTTAGGACTCATAGTAGCTTGAGGTGATCCAGCTACAACACGTTTTTGCATTGGAGCACGGGTTTGTGGACTCTGAAGCCTTGGAGTAGGTGCACGTACAGGACTTCGAATAGATCCGATACCCAGTACACTGGTGGGACCTGGACCACGCACTGACGGTCTAGGCAGCAATGGACGTCCATCAGCCGTTTTTTGCTGCTGTTGCTGTTGAATACTAGGACGTACATTTGTAGTGATCCTAGGCTGCATGCCAATTGGATTTTGTACAGCTGTAACTACATGGATTTGTTGAAGTTGCGTGGGATCAGGTTTTGGTTGAATTTTTACAGGCTCATTTTTCGGACCTAGCGACTGTCTAGGCTTGGCTGGCACTTGTTTAGAGATCACTTTCATCTGGGTGACGACCTGACTACCATCTGGCTTGGAAACTACTTTTACTGGTGTAATGGAGTTAGCCTGTGAAGCAGTAATTACTTGTCTTCGTACGACAGTGGGGTTTTCACGATTTGGTACCATCAAAACTCCTCCAGTACCACTCTTGATTTGCTTACCAGCAGGCGAGGAATCTAGTTTAATTATTCCTTCTTTTTTAGACATTACGTAAACTCCAGATGCTAAATTCGGCATTTGTTTAGGATCAACTTTGACAACACCTTTAGCATTGGCGACTAAAACTGGCGATTGATGAGTTTTTGTAGGATCAGGAGACTGTAGACCAAGTGAAGTTGCCAAATCGCTGCTCGAGACAGTTTTGTTCGAACCATTCGACTGAGCATTTGCACGGTTAAAAGCACGTTGGATAACATCACTTCGTCCTGTAGTGTTACGTTCTTCTTCAGATTCACCAGTGTAGTCCTCATCGCTAGCGCCTTCTCCTTTAGCCCTTTTAGCAGCCGTTGTGTCTGAATCACTATCAGTAAGATCAGCTCGGCGTTTACCCAAAAGATCGTTGTCTTCTTCTTTCATAGATCCACACCACTGCTTAACTTGATCCATTGCCTTTGACTTACTCGATCTCATTGGACGCGTAATTTGAGCCGCTGAGCTTGGACCCGGCGTACTTGGCTCTGCTTTAATGATCGTTTTCTGAGTAACAGTCCTAGATATAATTTTAGTTTGTTGTTGTTGTTGTTGTTGTTGTTGTTGTTGTTGTTGTTGCTGCGCTAATTGTTGGGCTTTTAGTTCTTTCATTTCTTTCTGCTTAGCCAAATTCCGCTCGAATTCTTCCAAAAGAAATTTACAAGATGAAACGACATCAGCTGACTCCCAAGTGTTGAACTCTGGAGCGTAGCCTTCCCATTTTAAATAATATTCAGCGCAACGTTTTTTAGTATTGTAACGTTTAGCCATTATTTTCTCAACAGCAAATTCTTCGTCGTTGGGTTCATCGTCAGGTTGTGTTTTTCCAGGTCGTACTCTTGGTTTGACAAACGCCTTGGGTCGAGTTTGCATAACTTTTTTCGTTTGAGCTGTGGTGGTTGTTGTTGTTGTTGTTGTGGTTGGGGCCGATTCAGAACTTTCAGCTTTGACCTCTGACTTGATTTCTTTCTTTTTTGCTTCACTCGAATCTTCTGGCTGACCATTACGAACTACTTTTCGTACTATTATTGGTTGTTTAGCACCTATAAATTAACCAACATAGTTATTAATTAATAAGTACCTTTCATATGCATAAATAAGCGCATTTAACGGCTGAATCAACATACCATCTGTATTATGAGATCGCATATCCGTCATTTTAGCATTGTTAATCTTGGTAAATGCTTGAATCGTTCTGCCAGCTGTGATCCAGGTTTCGCGTACATGCTGCTCCATTTTACACCATTTTTGATAAAGCTTCCACGAAGTGACTGAATCTTTATCAGTTGTTTCTTGTTGTATTTGTGTGTCTTTCCACAATAAAAACGCCCAAACTTGAGCCTTCTGTTCATTCTGAAAAATTAAATTAATTATTATTAAAAGCAAGAATTTATTTAAGGAAGTACGAACCATATGATTTTTCTCAATGAAAAAGAAATTACCCGACATTTCAAAATTTTTAGAAATTTTTTATTGAAAGAATTTCAATTAGACAATTAAGAAAAAAATTTTCACATGTAAAAAACTTGAAAAACTATAAGTGCAATTTTTTATAAATATCTTTTTAGTTGTAATTTAATTAATAAAAAAAAAAATCAAAAACTTTTTAGACGTCTGCCAACTTCAGTGTCATTTTTTCTCAATATATAGAGATATACATTTAACATTGGCTAACGGCAGCATTTACTTTTCTTTTAATTAATACACTTTAATTAGTCGGGCAAGTGTAAATTTTTTTGAATTAAATTCATCACTATTATATTTACTTTCATCCATAATTTTTTTAAAAATATTCACCGACAGTTTTACGAGAAAAATACAGAAATGTATCAATGTTTGGAGGTTACCCCATAAGACCAATGTTAAATTCCTCAACTTCAAAATTAATTATTTATTTAAATAATCGGGCAATACTCTTCAAATTTTCGGAATTTATTTAGACATATTTCAACTTCATATTAAAAAATAATCAAGCCTTTTATCAAAAGTTGCCTTGGTGCTCGTACTTTCTTAATTCATCTGTTCATTGTTCATCTTAAAAAAAATGATTGTTTTTTAATAAAATTAAGACACTTACATTGCCATTGTCGCGAAAGTGTGATGTTTTGGTGCAAGCGCCCTCTTTATTCTGATGCTCTTGGAATTCCTCGACGAAGTGAAATACCAAGTGACACTGACCACACACCAGGACATTAAGCCTTCCAATTTCTTCTTGGGCCGCTAAAAAATAAAAAAATAAATATAAGACGTTTAAAGTTAAAATTTTTGTTAATTAACTGGTGAATAATTAAGATTAATTAATTCAAATTTTAGATTAAAAAAATAATAAATCATTAACCTTTTATAACAGCGGGATTGTTGACCACAGTAGAACCATCACCAGCTTCCATTTTGAAATTGATCCTTCCAATTTTAATTGTTAATTAAACCTGGAAAACAAAAAAATATTAGACACATAGTTCAATACAATTATATCGTCTTAACCATACTTAAACTTTGGAATAATTCTCAAGACACGTGTATGGATAACAAAAATATAACATCAAAGTCATAATAGCAATAAATTCGAATTAAACCGATTCCCGCATAAACTTGTTATGTATGTATAAAATAATATATAGTCTATATATATATATTGTGGAATAACGATGATAAAAAAAAAGCGACAAATTTTCGAGGGAAAGAGGCATTGAAATGATTGAAAACGCGGCCAGTGGCGTAAGTAACTAGTAAACTAAGTATTAAAAAAAAAAATAAACCAGCATTTAGCTCACCTTAATAAATAGAACTAAAAAACAAACGAAAATATTATGAATAACGATCCACACGATTTTAATGAATTGTCCTGTTTAATAATTGTGAGTTTAACTTTCAGTTGAGAATAAACCACGACACAAAGCAGCTTTTATTATCGTGATATGATGCCATCGTGCCGCTCGATGGCGATCCGTTTCCCTGTTGTGTATTCTTTTCACCAAGATGGCTCTCACTTCCCACCTTACGAATGTATATCCAGCACACGTTGGCGTTCACTTTCTACCTATAAAATATTTGCGGCTTTGTTAGACTACAACTTATCTATTAACCCTATTAACTTATATCCAAAATGATGCTTTTATAATTATCATTATTTTAATATTATTTTTTTCCATTAGTTAACTATATATAATAATATATATTATAATACCTGATAGAATTGTAGAAGTTTAGACGTGAGACTAACTCTTGTGTTAAAAAAATTTTTTCATATATATTACGATATATTGTTACTCTTACACTTGATGGCACTCGTTTCCCCGGGGATTATGTTCCGTGCAAAATTTTATTGCGACGCCAGGGACGCAAACGGTAGTACCGGGGACATTATACCGGATCGCGTCGTTCGACAGTGGCGACGCCATTTCCTTCTAGTCGGATTTTACTCACATGAACACATCCACTATTTTTTGGCGGGAGCGGGTTTATTATCACTGTCACCTCTTTTGTAAGTACTTTGCATTTAATTTTTATTTATTACATTTATTATTACTAATTGATGAATTTTTTTACAGAAAAATTTGCCGAAAGTTCATTTTATTAAAAAAAATTTTTTTTAGATCATTTAAATCACCAGCGGAATTCGCGCACTTTGGACAGGAAGTGATGATGGATACCGGTATAGGTATATGGGTCAAGTATTAATTTATTAATTAAAAACATTTTTAATACTTGATTAATATTTATAATTCATATTTATTAATCACAATATTTTTATTCTTATTTTTTGATAGTAAAAAATAGTTTTTTTATTTCAGCGGTATTTTGGGGAAAGGAGAAAAATTCCATTTGTAAGATGCTAATTTGACTTTATTTTTCGAGGTTAGCTATAAAGTATTTATTATTTTAAAAAATAGATTGTTGTAATGGACAAAGTTAATTTATATTGTTATAAATTTTTTAAAAAAATTGTGACACTCAAAGTTGCGAATATCGAAGAATTTTCTTGGTATCTAAAAAAAAAAAAAAAGAATTTTTATTGTATTAACTCAGCTGACATCTATTTTTTTTAGTTTTATTTAAAAAATAAATTGATGACAATTAATCCTAGCTAACACTTGACAATTTTTTTATTTTTCTTGAATAATAAACTAAGTCTAGAAAATTCTTTTTGAAAAAATGCATTTATAATTTTTTAATGACAGTAAAGTTAGCAGTCACTTAACCATTTTTTAATTTTTTTTTAACAAATAGATTTTTTCCAAAAAATTATTTTAAAAAAATTTCATTTATTTTTTAAAATTTCTATAATTTTTTAAATAACACTAAAGTTAGCCGACGTTTTTAATTTTTTGATTTTTTTTTTTAATTACTAAATTAGAACTCAAAAATATTTTTTAAAAATTATGCTTTTAGTTTTTCGAGTTTTTTACAAATGAAAATTTTTTTTAATTATTTTGTAATTGTTTTTTTAATAAAAAAAAATTCAAAAAATTTTTAAATGTCGGCTAATTTAATTTTCATAATTTTTTAAAGTTTCTAAAGATTAAATTTTTTAAATAAATTTTTCTTGATGTAATTTATTTGTTAAAAATTTTTTTTTTTAATTATCAGATGTCTCAATTTTAGTATCATAATAAATTAATACCAAGAAAATACTTTTTTTTTTTTATTATATTTATAATTTTTTACAATTTTTATAGGTTGAATAGTTTTTAAAATTTTCATTTTTATCATTCTAATTTTAATTTAATTTTATTTTATTTAAAATTTCAAAGAAAAAATAAAAAATTTTTGTTGTAACAGAAAATGTTTTCAATAGAAATTATTTAAGTATTAATGATATATTTTTAATCAAATAATTATAAAAACAAATCACTAAATTATTTTTAAATGAAAAATTAATAGAATTTCTTATTCTAGAGTTCCAGTAAATTAATCATTTTTGAATTTTTAATGTCAGCTGCAGAAGAGCAATTTTTAAATCTTTTCATTATTATTATACGCTAAAAAAATTGTTTTATTTTATTGAAGATGTAGAGAAAAAATCATTAAAATAAAATATTATCGGTAAGACTATAAAAAATAATTGTAATAAGCTGATTAGTATTATTTGGCTTGGTCATTTAGATAATTGATGTCAGAAGAAAATTTTTTATTCAAACTAAACTTCAAAATAATTATTGTGAATTTTCTCGTAAAATAAATTTAGCAGTTATTTGATAATTTTAAGAATTTTTTTAACAAATAAATTATGGCAAAAAAACAATTATAAAAAAAATTGACATGCAGAAATTTTAACAAATTACAAATGCAATTTTTTAAAAATAATTTTTTGGAACAAATATGTTAAAAAAAATTTAATTAGCTGAATTTTCTCGTTAATACAATTAAAAAACTAATCAATTCTAAGAATATAAAATTAACAATAATAACTCTACCATAAATTTTCATGTATAGAACTTCATGTGCAGACTAAAAATCAATAACTTAAAGTCAATACAATTTTATAAAATCTTTGAAGTTCAACACTAGTTTAAATTCTTCCCTAAAAGTAAAACCCCAAAAAAACCTTTTCAAGATCATCCCTTAAAAAAATAACATTCTTTAAAATAGTTCACAGGAATACCGTGTGGCGTTAAAAAAATGGATTATCATCGCCCATTATCACTTGGGGCGGGGGCGGCATTGGAGTTGGAGGACACACCAAGAGCCATCACCCACCACATATGTACAAGACAGTACCAGTACACTCTCAGCAGATATTAACACGGTCTCGCCGGACGGATTTTCTCTCATAACGTCAAAGTAACGTCATGTACATGCGAGTTTGAAGTTTGACAGCTACTGTGCTCGACTGTACATATAATAGTACCAGGACAAGCCAGCTTAACTTTACTCGCTGTCTACCACTGTCTACGGTATATTAAATGATTCACGTCGTCTAACATCCAGCAGCACATTTGTCAATAATCAACAACAATGAAGACAAGTGTCTAAAATAATAACGACTATCAACACATTAATTACTTGCAATATTTATAAGCAAATAAGTGTGAGGTGTGTGATTTTTTACCAGAATATGGAAGAATGATCAAGCACGGGATTATTTTACTGCTATTGCTTGTATTGCCAGGTAAAAAGATGGACCCAATACCTTGATACTTATATTGATTTATTTTATACATTATTATTTTTAATTTAATTATTTACTTTTACCAACTAAAATTTTTATTTGATTTTTAAAATTTTTAAATAGAATAATTATCTGGGATTAGAGCATATAATGTAGCTGATAATAATTTATCTGTCTGTTTCAGGATGTTAGGTAATAAAAATAAAATAGTTTGATTTTATCAGTAGAGTATGCAAAATAGAACGGATATTAATAATTTATTCAATTCCACAACGCACTGCTATGAATAAATAAATAACTAAATGTTGATTGTTTAATTTTGTAAATAAACGTTTTTTTTTTTTTTTATTTTGTTTTAAGGATGGCAAGAGGCCTTGGGATCAGTATCTGTCAGAACAGTAGAAGTAGATATAGGACAAAATTTAACGATTGCTTGTACTGACGAAAATGTATCACGGCATCCTGGTAATTACACCAACGTCATGTGGGTTCGGGAAGGAAGAAAAGACGGGCAGGTACGGAGAATGAAAATAGGATCAAACAAGGCACTTGAGTTGGTAAATGTTAGTCTCGATGACGCTGGTAATTATTTTTGCACACTTGATAACGATGCCAATGCTGTTAAAACACGAATTAATATTCAAGTAAAAAGTAAGTTTATTCTTAATAAATATTATTTATTATTTATTCAAATTAATTATTAAATTAAGGAGGGAAATACGTGTAGAAGGTCATTTTTATGCTGATTTTCATTAATTTTTTTAAGGTATAAAAAATTAATATTATTTATTGAAACTATCAGGTTTGCACATTGTAGGATATGTCATCCGACTTAGCAGTTGGTGTGCAGGATGGAAGCCACAATTTTTATCTGAAATTAATGGCACAGAAAAATTACTTTTTTTATATGTGTATCTTCTATATGAACCTCAATTCCAAAAAAAAAAAATAATAATTTGAATTTTTTAGAGCGCTGTGAAATTAAGTCGTAATTTTTTACCATTTTTTCATACATTGTTTATTAAAAAAAAATATTTTAAATAAAAATATCGCTTATGATAGAGGTTCATATTCAGTGTAATTGTATAAAGAAAAGTAATTTTTCGGTGCCATTGATTTCAGATAAAAATTGTGGCTTCCATAGTGCACACCAACTGCTAAGTCGGAAAACAACCTACGATATGTATCAAGCTGATATCTCCGCTACTTTTTAAATTGTATTGTCGTAAAATATGGCAAAATATAAATCTATACTAATAAATGGAGAGCCGGTTTTTTTGTCCGGTTATACTACGAAAACTACTGAACTACGGAATAATACTTATACCATAAGATGCAGCGTGTTTCAGAGAAAGTTTTAGTATATGATATGGTGGTGATTACTCATCCGGAACCTATATTTTTTTGACTTAGAAATAATGCATCTTTATTGTAATTAAATTTATTCTATTCGATTGTCATTTGTTTAAAATAAATTTTTTAATTCTATTGGATATGTTTATATATACTAGGCAGATTTCTTCACTTATGAGACCTGCAATTTCTTTAACTGAAATTTTCACTGCTCATTACAACTTTTTTTTGTCATATCAATTATTATTAATTTTTGTAAGAAAGACACGGGAATGTTATAATGATTGCACATTGAAAGTTACAATGAATATTAGCTAGAATAATTACATGGATAAAAGGTGCATGCTAATTTGATAAAATTTAAAATCTGTGCAAGTCAAAACAATACTCTAATTAAATTTCAAGTCTAGATCTAAAAATGCAATTCTATAAAGCGCCCAGCGGAGCAAGCGAGTAACAGCTAGTATATGTATAAAATAACCTGATAGTTTCAATAAATAACATTAATTTTTATACCATAAAAAATAAATAAAAAACCAGCATAAAAACATCTTTCTACACGTTTTTCCCCTCTTAATTAAGGTGATAATATTTAATTAATATTTTTTTTTAATTCCAGCACCTCCACCAGCACTTCACAATGTTTGGGTTAAACCATCTACAATACTCGCTAACATTCTGTGGGAAGTAGCAGGTACTGGTGGTTATCCTATTATTGATTTCACTGCCGAATATCGTCTGAAACCAGGTGTAGGTGAGGAACCTGAAGACTGGAAGCCCATTATGCCGACGCACATACCTCCTAACTCTGTTTGTATTTTTAATTTATTTATTAATAAAATATTATATATAATAATAAAAAATATTAATTGGATTATCTGCCGAATAACAGAGACAGATTGATGTTTATCATTTGGAGCCAAACACAACGTATTTGTTTCGCGTATGGGCAACAAATAAACTCGGGCGTGGTGACATTGTTGAAGTTGAAGGTCATACTCATCACACTATCGAAGAATTAGGTAATTATTTATCTGTATAAATCCCCAAGGCAGTGTATATATAATGTAGCAAAGTTCTTGCAGCTCAAATAATCTAATGATTTTTTAATTCTTTTAATTAATTAAAAATTAATGAAATAAATCGAGCATGTGGCGATAAATTATTTCAGAGCTGGCGAAACATCTGTTAGCCGGCGTGGAAAATTTTGATACACGAATCTGGGTAGCGGCGGTAGGAATTGTTATGGGAACTCTAATGGTCCTTGGTTTAGGTACATGCTACCTTCTGTATCGTGAGTGCAAGGCACCCTGTAAGCATTCTCTTGGAACTTTAAATACGAGCTTCCGCTTCTACTCTGTCTCTTTAATGCCCTTGCTTGAGTTGCGAACTTAGTCAATATAATTACTAATATAATTATAAAAAATATATATGACATCACAGCTCGATGATTGTCAATAAATAGTGCATGATTTAATTAGGTAGTTACCCTGATTAAAAATACGGTTAAGGGATTAAGAAAATAGCAGCGGAAGCAAGGGCATTGCTAGTCATTTTTTTAAATTTATCTATGGCCCTGATCTCTAGCTTTATCTAATTATTGTCATTACTAATCAATGTCTATTTAATCTTGTCAACTAAAATATTTATTCTTAATATTTAATACATATTAATTCTTTTTTCTCACTAATATTTTCCCGGCTGCAAGCGCTTTTTTTTTTAATTAAATTTTTATTAGATATTTTATTATTAAATTAAAAATTTTTTTAATTTATTAAACTACGTTTACACTTTTTATTATTGTTATTGTTTTTACTATTAATATTAATATTAAATAATGCACAATAAATCACCTAATAAAAATTAATTACTATCATACTAAACAAAATCACTAGTAAAATATTAATGCATTCATTTATCATTTAATTAGTTTCTTTATTATTATTATTCTTATTTTTATTATTATTATTATTATTATTATTGTAAATATTGAAATTATATTTAATAGTTATTTGGTGATTAAATTGTTATGCAGAATGAGAAATAGTGTAAAAAAAAACTAGAAGATCCACCATAGAGATTAGAGCATTACGGCCTAGATAATAAACAAAGTTTATAATAAAAAAATATATAGTAAACACAAATAAAAAACAGTTGTAAAATGTGCTACTAGAGACTATATATATATATATATATATATAAATAAGTTAGAAAGAAAAAATAGATTAAAAATAGCACATAAATTAGTTGGGTGATGCAGTTATTAACTTCGATCAAGACAAAATAAATAAACAATAGACAAGAGTTATCAGTTATCAGTTGAATTTGTCAGCGCAATACTCTAACAGGATTATTTTTATTGTTCACGCGAAAATTTGTGATGCATACACCCAGCGATTATTGAGAAAATAATAACATTCAAAAGGTTGGTAAAAAAAAAATAATGAATAAATAAATTTATAAATAATAAATTTTTTATTTTAAAATTTTAAATAAATAAGTAAAGAGAGAGAGTAGAAGCGTAGTTATTTTTATTTACTAAATAAGACAAATGAAAATTAATTTGCTCCGCATAAAAATTTTCAGCGCAGCTGGAGGATCAGGAAGTGATTGAGTTGGTACCAAATATTATTTTAAATCCGGGATTTTTTGACGAGAGATCCGAACGACAGCATCAGCAGCAACATCAGGACGAAAATTTCAACAATCAGACAACCACACGACTGAACAACAACAGTGTAATATTACCGAGACGACTTTAGCGTTTTATTTATAATTGATTTAAAAATTTTTTTACTACTGGTCAGTTATTCATTATTAATTATTGATATTGATATTGATATTAATGTTGATCATATTTATAAGTAAAATTATTTGTTATTACTCAAGGATAGACCGGTAGCATTAATGACGCAGGAATTTATTTGTTATAATGCAAAAGTGTTCAAAATATTAATAATAATAATAATACTATTAATAATATTAATAAACAATTGTAAGACTTTGCTATAGATTTCACACATGCCGATTAAAATTAAAAAAAACTGCGGTCGCTCGTGTAATATTACGACCACGTTGTTGTTGCTTGTCGACTGGATTTTTTCACTGTAAGTAACTTATTTTTACGAGCTGACGAAAGACTGGAGATTTTAAAAACCTTTACCAGTGATAATTTTTTAATTATTGTCCATTGAATGACGGAATTTTTTTTTTTTTTTTTTAAATTAAAAAACAAAGACTGTTACGTCTGGCGGTTTTGCAATTTTTTTTTTACTGTTACTTTTTTTTGGCAATAATTGAACCGCCTTTTTGATCTGATATATAATAATTGCTTGACTAAAAAATACCAAAGAAAAAATATAAGCAACAAAAAAAAATAAATTTTTTCACATTTTATATTTTTATTCTCTTGTTTTTATAACAAAAGGTGCTTTGTTATTTTTATAACGACACTTGAAAAAAGTAATGAAGCTCTTTGTTGAAAAAAATAAGATCATAGCCTAATTAAATTGATGAAAAAAATATTTCTTCAATGAAAATTTCAATTCTGATACTTTTTATTAATGAAATTAAATTTTATTTTTGTTGTTGAAAATTTCTTGTCGAGATTGCGCTTTTGCTCTCGTCACTGCAGAAACATGTTGCATTAATATTGATAATGATAACAATCTACGAAGTATTTAAAAAAATAATAAATCGCTTCTCAGTAGAATTTTCTACACTTCCAGCTTTATAATTTAGCCGATAACTCTAATTACTCAATTAAATATACTATCAAATAATATTTCTACATAATAAAACAAAAACGCTTTCTATGCAGCTTTAATGATATATTATTTTAATTCGACATTGATTATTATTTTACATTTTAAATTATTGTAACTGTCAAATAACCACGAAACACTCATCTGAAATCATACTAACGAATTTTTGCACAAGTTTCACATAATAAATAAAAATATACGTAAGTGCGATACAGAGCCTAAATAACTAAAAAATCATACAGTTAGCTTCAATAAATAAATAAATAATTCTCTAAAATCATTGTTAGATAAATTGTAATCAAACGTGAAATGATCAGAAAGATAAATCTGATTATTTTTAAATACAGATTTAATCACTGGAGACTTGATCTCTAAAAAATTCAGTAATTTTTTAAAATTATGTCTTCGGCGGATTATGAATAGTAGCATATCAGATGGATTCATTGCAAAATACATACATTTCATACCATATAGAATAAAACAATATATATTATTAATTGAAATAAAAATATGAGGATGAACGTGTGATCGTAGTATGATTTTAAAATTTTTATTAAAAAAAAACGAAAAAAAAAAAAAGAAAACAATTGTAACAAGTTGAGAGTGTACAGACCTCCCAGTATTTTCATTTAATACTTTATATTTTTTTAGTTAATATTTAGTAAAAAAAAAAAAGTATTATTTTCTTAGATAACTAATTGTATTAATTATGTATTATATTATATTTAAAGGAGAAAACTAATAAGCATTTTAACACGCATGGTTGTATAAAAATTGGTTGTGCGTAATCAGAAGCTGTTAATCAGATTTTTATTCCTGTCTTTGCTTATCATTAGTCATTTATTTATTTATCTGAGTTTAAAGAAAAAAATTGCAATAATTAAATTGGCGGGAATAAAATAGATCTGGTTGAGCTTCGCACTGTGCACTCTGTGTTGTGAATGGTATTAAACTTGCTATCATAAACAAAGTTATTGATAAATGATAACATGATAATAATTATAATTTATAATATAATGAATATATAAAATATATTTATATAGCCAATTTAGTAATAAGAAAAGGCAATTTTTTATATACAAAATGAAGTAAAAATAATAACGCTGAAACGTGCAATATATATTATTATATTAATCTACATATTAGTCATTTAATAATAAATTTTTTCGCACTTAGTAGTATACACGCTTGCATCGGGACAATAATATTATTGTCGTTTGTCCGTTTGATCAGTCTAAAATAATTCATCGTGATATTTTATTTTCTTCTTTGCATACTATTACTGTCAGCATTTATTAAAATTTAAAATTATTCTTGTTATTTATTTATGAGCTAGTCATTTTAAAAAAATAATCAGTTATTTATATTTTATTTATTTATTTTTATTTGTTAATTAGAAGTTAGCTATTTAATGACTACTCCATTGCTTCCGTCTGTTAAAGAATTAGAAAAAAAAAAAATATTTTTTAAACTTACTGTAATCATAAACATGCTTTGCAGTTATGCTATTACCATAAAATAAATTAAATGGGCAGTTTAATAATTAAAAAAAATTAGTCACACTGTTGATACACATTATGAAGCGTATAGGTGCCTGTATTATTTATTTTATATTATTTGTTAATTATTAATTTGTTGTTATGATTTATAATTATTGAAATAACATTCCATGTACACAAATAACATTTTAGTCCACATACTAGAATTAATATTTATTTTAATATATTAAAAATTGTGTTTACGTAGTTGAATATACGTACCTGGAAACAAAAAAAATAATTTTTCCACGCTCAATTTATCAGAAAATCATAAAAAAAAAATTTTTTAACATCTATCTTGGGTTTTAAAATTGTGGTTGATAAAAAAATAAATTATTAATTTACAGTTAATGTATTTTAAATAAAACAAAAAATTTTACCTGTAAATTTTTTTTCGTTGAAGGAAAAAAAAAATAAATAAAATAATAAATGACGTATATTTTTTAACATCAACAAATTATACAAATAAAAAGAACAAAAATCTTGGGCACATATCACAGATATTACGCTAAATAAATCCGCCTAAAATCGCATGTAATGATAATAAAAATTATAATTAATAATAATTGTAATACTAAAGAAGGAAACAATAATGACATTTAGGATTAGGACACGGTACTTGTTAATCGTGCATCGATATAGGCTTGAGTTCAATACAGATAAAGAAATGTGTTATTTACAACTGCTTAAATATATTAGTTCATTAAATAATTAATTATTTGTGATTCAGAAATAAAATATATTTCGATATCGAGCTATAATTATTTAAGAAATTGTTCGACCGCAAAGCGTGTCATTAAAATTTTTAATTGTAATATTTAAAAACTAATAATTGTATTATTGTAATAATTTTTCTTTTTGAATAATATGAGTGTGATTATATTGATTATTGTAAGCCTATATATTTACACTGTATTGATGTAACTTATTATTGTAATACAATCAGTGTATTTTGAATTGTGTATTACACTCAATATTCATGAATCATCATTAAAATCATAATTATTCAATTTTGTTTATTTATTTATGCTTATATCTTCCAACGTTCAAAAACTTCTAATATTTTCAATGTTTAGACCAATAATTTTAAAATTTTTTAAATACTTATCATATTGCGTGTAATTGTGAATAATAAATTGATTGAGAAACAGTGTTACTATACTGAGAGAAAAAATTTTTTTTGAAGAAAAATGAGCATTGTTGTGACAAGAAATTAATTTTTTGAAAATTTTAAACAATTTTTTTCCTTACACAGAAAAAAGTAAACTGTAATAAATAATATTCGATTTATAATAAGTAATGATCAACAGCTAAAAATTACCATTTTAAACAGTAAAATCATGATTTTTTTACTGGTAACCGGGTTCTATATTCGCGGACAAAATATCTTTAAGACAAAAAATCCACCGTATAAAATATCCATGGATAAAAAATCTGTGGACAAAATATGCTTAAGTTCAATAATATTTTTAATTTTATAATAATATTTTTAATATTAAAAATGTGGAGCGACTTCGTGGCCGAGCGGTTTAAGTCTTAAACTGCCCGTACAACAGTCGCTCAGGCGTGGGTTCAAGCCCTGACAGTCGCAATTTTTCTGCGATTTCCAAGGCTTGCTCCCTTGCCGACTGTACCCTCGCCAGGTTTCTGTGGTTTCCTTGGTCACTGTGCTAAGGGTGGGGCACAGGCAAATGCGGGTACAGATTGTAAGTCGGCCACAGCCGCTGAAGAGGTAAACGAGAGTGTAAATAGTCAAAATAAGGAAGGATTCAAAATCCCACATGTCTAGGCCAATAAAGGCTGACGCGTAAGACTCCAAAAAAAAAAAAAAATATTAAAAATGTGTTAAATTGACCCTCAATAATCCACTTTTATAATTTAGATGAAAAATATGAAAATATATCATGTAAGAGCAAACTATTCGTAACGTGATTGGTCAAATATATCATAAACATGAAAATATAGATAACTCCATACCAACATTCACACGCGCGCTTGCGCGCGCAACGTATACTAGTCCCATAATAAAATTGAGATGAAATTTATGTGAAACCAATCTATTCGTGATGTGATTGGTTGAAAATATTTATTCTCATTCTGATTGGTTGAAAGTGAATATAATATACATAAACGACACATAAATATATCATGACAATAAATATGACGGGGTCATCTGAGTGCGAAAATTAAATTCTAGTCCTCTTAAATTAGACAATTTGCTAATTAGAATTTTGATATGTATTTTGGGTCTAAATAAAACTGATCTTTTCCAAAAAAAAAATAGATTTGATTTACTTTCAATATATAAAACATAAATAGTTCGAGTATTAACTTAAGCTTGCTCATAAATAATTTGGTGTGATAAAAAAAAACCGTCAATTTGATAAATTCTAACTAAATATACACAGTAAAAAATTTTACGTCATTGCGTCAAAAAATTTTGTGTTAAATATTTAACACTTTTTTGTGTTAATTTAACACTTTTCTGTGTTAATTTAACACAATAAATGTTAAATTTACACATAAGAGTGTTAAATATTTAACACAAAATTTTTTGACGCAATGACGCAAAATTTTTTACTGTGTAATTGGTTCACAGAAGGAAGCTTACAGTGACAAAAGTAGCATTAATTGGTGGAAAATATTTATTTTTAGTGGAACAGTGAACTGGAAGAATTATTCTACGGACCAAGTTGCCACTCAGATGACCCCAATATGACGCGCGCGCTTGCGCGCGAAAATTAAATTCTAGTCCCATAATAAAATTGAGATGAAATGTATGTGGCATCAAACTATTTGTAACGTGATTGGTCGAATATATCATAAGCATGAAAATATATGCAAACTCCATAGTCAGGGCGCGCGCTTGCGCGCGAAAATTAAATTCTAGTTTATTGAAAATCTGTTGATATCGAAAAAACACACCCCAAAACCCATGTTAAAAGGACGCAGCACGATTACCCGCGTTTGAGTTGGTCTAAAAATTCATTCGTATTTGATTTGTCAATTACTGTATATTTTGTCCACGATTTTTTTATCCAGCGGATTTTTTGTCCTAAGGATATTTTGTTCGCGGATATAGACTCATTTTACTAATCACTTTATAATATTTATCATTTAAATGCAACAATTTATACTTTACATGGAAGAAAATACTATTTCAAACAGTAATATTCGCTATGTGAATGTCGAAAATGTTAAAGTATAATAAAATTAAGAATTTTGATTTTGATGTTTATCATTTCGTACTTAAAAAATGATCACATGACATGTAAAAAATATAAAATACAGTCACTAAATTTCCAATACAAGCAACGTCAATATTTACAAAGTAAAATGGTAAATTTTTAATGCAACGCTAAAAATGAAACTTGTAACGTAGCTTTTTGTCACGCGGTAGATCTTCACGGCAAACACGGCAAACGATAATTCACTACCTTACACTTCGTCCATCTCAGCCACCTCTCGATCCTCCAGGAACCCCGACAGGCGCCAGCCGACTTTTGTTTCACCGGTATCGGCAACCGGGATACGATAACTTAATTTTTATGTTCCCAGAAGACCAAGAGCAGCCTCGACGGTAACGGAATACCTCGGTGTCGCTCAGTTATGCAGGTTATGGAGAGAGGGTCGTGATTCGGTCTTTCAAAGGAAGTAATTTCCTTACAAAACGGGACTAAACGATATCTGGTACACTAATCGGTACTCTCAAACTAACACCCAACCTTATTAATCAATAAAATAAAATAAATCGATATTAAAAATATCGCCGAAGAAGTCCCAAACGAACACGAAACAAAGACAATGGCTCGGGCCATTTATCTACGGTACTAGCAAGCGTGAGGCACACTAGCTCCAATACGAGAGACTAACTTAATTCTCCAACGCGATGCTCACTCTACGAGAGCTCGTAACTGACTCTTTTCACGGTACATAACTATATAACGCTGCCTAGCAGCGACGGCAGGTCTGTCCTCTACGAGGACCTCCACAGGACTTTTCTATAAATCCAGACTTCAGCACCAAACAATCCTTAATGTTTCACTACTCCAGCCAGACTGCCTCTCACCGTACCCCCACTACATTCATGCCACCTGCCACATGCGCTCAACTCACTTTCACGCTACTCCCAAACTATGGAGGGTAGAAGTAAAATTTTTTTAAGGTATTAGTTATACCCTTAAGTCAGTAATTTGGCATTTTTCCTATTCATTTTGGTTTTTATTTTAGCTGCATCATAGCGCTTATTTTCAGACTTTGCTAGAAAATGAGCACGCATCACAATATAAATGTCAATAATTTTCTTAGTTAATTCATTTTCATGCTCAAAGCATCCAACTTTCAACATAATTTCTTTCTGAAGCTCTAAAGATATTTCAGAAATTGTGTCAACGTTTGTAAGATTTTTACTTACAGCTCTTAGAACACACTTCTCTAATTGCTTAGTTAGATTGAACAGTTCATTACTTGCAAAAAGTAATCCACCAAATAAATCCATTTCACAAATAACGTCATTACGTAGTAACTCTTTACCAGCTTCCGGACTCATTTGTATGACTTGTAATTTTCTAATTTTATTGTTAATTTTGTGAGTTTAATCAACGAAAGATTGCTTTTTTTTTTTATTATAAAATCCGGTATTTTATTTTACCGTGTTTTCATCTTGTAATTTTACCACTATGTTGTTAACTAATTTTTAAAACGTGCATACAAAGATTAATAAACTTATAAAGGCAATATCATAATATTATCATTCATAAATAATTAATTTTTTTTTCGTAGACTTGATATTTAATTTTAAAATTTACGAAAATTTTTAACAGTTTATTTTTCAGTAATTAATCAAAGGATTAATAATTCCGCTAAATATTTCATATTTTTGTAAATAATTAAAGGTTAACATTTTTTTTATGAAGTCGTCACTTAGTTGAAAATATATGTTTTTATTATTCCTTCAATTAACTACTAGATAATATCTTATATTAGCGAAATTTTTTTGGTTTTTTGAAATTGAAGTTCAAAATTACCTAATATAAGTAGATCTATGTTCATATTAATAAATTAAGAAGCTTCGTAAAAAAAAAAATGAATAAAAAATTGTTTTTTTTTTCTGGTCTTCTAAGTGCATGTTACCTTAATTAAAAAAAGAAAAAAAAAACAAAAAGTTAAGATTTAAACTATTTAATCTTAAAAACTTTAAAATTTATTTTTACCTTCAAAAATTTATAATTAATAATTAATGAATACAGTCTGAGCAATATTATCACACAGTTTCTGAATTTGGTCATTACTTGTATACTCAGCAGCCAAAATCGCATTAGCCAGCGCGATAGTTTCTTTGACTGACCTAGCTTTGATCCAAATTCTTCCGTTCATGCCCACAGCAATTTCATACGGTTGTTCCTTGGCGAATGCCTCAAAGAAAGGATTATTAGGGCTCAGTATCTTCCTGACAAGACTCAGCGAACATGTAAACAGCATTCCGTCGGGTCCCAAGACACCCAGTTTGCCTTTTTTACCCAGTGAATCTACACAAACTAACTCTGGTTCCATATCCTTGCTCGCAATCAACAATTTAGCGAACACAATATCTCCAATCTGTACATCAGGACGATTACGCTTGCTGGCACCTTCAAAAGCTAGATAGGGCAACGCAGCTTGATCGCTAGCTCCGATGTCAACTTTGAATATATCACCTGCTTTTTGGGTTATTATTCCTACCACGTTTTCACCACGTGCTGGAACATATCTGCATAAATTAAAAAAAAATTAATTAGTACATTTTTTATTTTAATAAAATAAATATTGATTTAATTTGTTGACAAATTTATTAACAAAATATTAATTAATTATTAACAGACACTTGATAATTTTTTTATTTTTCTTGAAAAATAAACTAGGTCTAGAAAATTATTTAAAAAAATTGAATTTATAATTTTTAGACCTTCTAAAATGTAATTTTGTAAACAATATATTCTAGCTATAATTTATTTGTTAGAAAAATATGAAAATTTAAATATTTTTTATACTAAATAAATATGGCAAAAAAATGAAGATGTAGAAATTTTAAAAAATTAAAAATGCAATTTTTTAAAAATAATTTGTTTGTTAAATGAAATTAAAAAATGGTCAAGTGGCTGCTTAATTTAATGTCACAAAAAAAATTTTGAAAATTATGAAAATCAACTTAGCTGACATTTAAAATTTTTTATAATTTTTTTATTCAAAAAATTATTTAAAAAAATGATGAGAAAAAAAAATCCATTTGTAAAAAACTTGAAAATTTTAAGTGCAATTTTTTAAAAATATTTTTTTGTCATGTCATGAGTATTAATTTAGCAGATATTTAATAATTTTTAGATAAATTATGGCAAAAAAAATTGTCAAGCAGAAACTAAAAAATAAATAATGCAATTTTTTAAAAATAATTTTTTGGAAAAAATTTTATTGTCAAATAAAATTAAAAAATTATCAAGTGAGTGCTAACTTTAATGTCATTTTTTTGTTCCAATTTAATAAATAAAAAAGTTAGAAACGTCGGCTAACTTTAGTATTATTTGAAAATTTTTTTCAATTTCAGTGTTAATAATTAATTAATTAATTTTTTACCTTCGTTGATAACTATCTACATAATAAATAGTCGTACGTTTTTTTAAAACTCCAGCTTTACATGAATAAACAATGTCACCATCACGTCTCAATCCTGGCCCAAGGACTATTTTTTCTTTTGGTTTTTCTGTCGTTATTTTTATAATATCACCAGGCATCACCAGATCTCCTATCATCTCACCCATTTTTTGGATTTAAATAATTAATAATAATAAACAATTATTTATTTATTTTCTTATGACTGACCACGAGCACGTGTACGCGCACAAACTGCATAAAAAAAAACTATATGGTTGGTAAAGTAGATAACCTACAAACTTACAATTAACATTTTTTTATTTTTTTAGTTATGTACGTGGGTACTCAACTAGTTATTTTGAATGTAAAAATACAGTGGTCAGCTAAATATAATAAACAAGTGAATAAATTAAAATATCTCAGTGTCTTACTTATATTTACAAATTTCATTTTATTAATTCCACATGTAAAATTTTTAATTCGCGATTCACTTTTTTTTTCACAATAAATTAGCATTTTTTATTTTCGTCTGCTTTAGTTGACTTTATAACACTCAATAGTGACACGTGTTATATATTTTTGATAAGCGATTTTTTTTTTTATAAAAAATTATAAGTATAAAAAAACAACAGCTTTAAAAATGAAATCTCTGACAGCAATACGTTTACTTTCAATTTTAGTTTTTTTTATAAGCTACAAAAATAATGTTATAGCTAATCATTACACAAATGGAGAAAGTGAAGCATGTTATTCCTATGCTGGAGGATCTGTTTATCCAGCCGGTTCACAACATGCTGACCATCAATTACATACAACAAAAGCCGTTAGTAAGTTTCTTTAAAATTGTAATAAAAATAATATTTTTACATATCAAAAAAATATAATACTGAAATCAACAAACATCTGTCAATTTCTTTTATTTTTATTATAAATCAATTATAAAGAAAAAATATTTTTATGATAATTAATTTAGCATATATATTTAATAATTTCAAGAATTAACTTATGGCAAAAAAAATTAGAAAAAAAAAATTGACATGTAGAAATTTTAAAAAATTAAAAATGCAATTTTTTAAAAACAATTTTTTGGAACAAATTTTTTTGTTAAATAAAATGAAATAATTGTGAAGTGACTGCTAACTTTAATGTCATAATATTTTTACAAAATTTGCACCTGTAATTTTTATTAATTTTTAGATGTAGAATTTTTTGACATTAAAATTAGCAGTCGACCATTTTTTTTAACAAACAAATTTGTTCCAAAAATTATTTAAAAAAAACTGCATTTTTTTTTTCTTCAATTTTTACATGTTAATTTTTTTTTGCAATAATTTAGTCTTTAAAAAAATTCTAAAAATTATCAAAAATCTGCTAAATTAATTTTCATAATTTTTTTATCAAAATTTTATATGAAAATGAAGTTAGCTGACATTTAAAAATTTTTAGAAATTTTTTATTGAAAAAACATCAATTAAACATTAAAAAAAAAAAAATTGTCACATGTAAAAAACTTGAAAAACTATAAGTGCAATTTTTTATTAATATCTTTTTAGTTGTAATTTAATTAATAAAAAAAAATCAAAAATTTTTAGACGTCTGCTAACTTCAGTGTCATAATTTTATTACTATAATTTAGTTATTATAAAAATCCAAAAAAAAAATGACAGCAGATCTCAATTAATTTCAGTTTAAAAAAAATAATTTTATATCGTAGTTCTTGCAATCACATATTTATAATGAAAAAAAAAGAAAATAACATGAAAGTAAATTACTTTCGTTTATTATTCATAAACAAGTTTCAATTTTTATTAATTTGCATTAACATTTAGGGCCAATTTTTTAATCCAAGATAAAATTTTATCCAGGATAAAATTATTATTGCCAGTATATCTATAAACATGAAATATATAGATATATATTGATATGGGATAAAATTTTATCTTGGATTGAAAAACTGGCCCTTAATGACATTAAAGTTAGCAGTTTTAACCATTTTTTAATTTTTTTTTAACAAATAGATCTTTTCCAAAAAATTATTTTTAAAAAATTTTTTTTTTTTACTTTTTTTGGTATAATTTAGTTGTTAAAAAAATTCTTAAAATTATTAAATATCTGCTAAATTAATTTTCATTAACATTTAAAATTTAAGTTGGAAAACCAGCACCATACTGGGAAGGAACGGCTGTTGTAAATGGAGAATTCAAAGAAATAAAATTAACTGATTTCAAAGGCAAATATCTTGTATTTTTCTTCTACCCACTTGATTTGTAAGTAATAAAAAATTTATTATATTATCAAGATGATTGATAAATTCAAAACTCTTTTTTAATTTTACAAAATTAATCGTATTTTATTTCAGTACCTTTGTGTGTCCAACTGAAATTTTAGCATTTTCTGACAGTGTTCAAGAGTTTAAAAAATTAAACGTCCAAGTAGTTGCAGCATCAGTAGACTCTCAATTTACTCATCTGGCATGGATGAATACACCTCGGAAAGAAGGTGGACTGGATAAAATAAAAATACCTCTGCTATCGGACTTAACTCATAAAATATCTAAAGATTACGGTGTTTATCTCGATGATTTGGGCCATACATTACGGTAAATATCCTTCACATTTTTTTATCATTGATATTATTCATCTAGATTTTTCATTTATTGCTTTAAAAAATCCTACAGAGCGCTGTTTATTATCGATGGAAAAGGAATTTTACGACAAATAACGATGAACGATTTACCAGTAGGTCGCTCGGTTGATGAAACATTGCGTTTAGTACAGGCATTTCAATACACCGATGAACATGGCGAAGTTTGTCCAGCAGGTTGGAAACCAGGCCACGATACAGTGAGTTGAAAGTATCTTTTTAATATAAAATTTATTCTTCAAAATTGTATACAAATTACCTTAACTATATACAGAATTAAATGGTTCTTAATAATTTCATTTTGTTTCAGATAATTCCAAATCCAGTTGATAAGAAGAAATTTTTCTCTAAAAATCTAAACTGATTTGAATTTTGCATGAAAAAAAAAAAAATATTTTTTTTTTTTCAATTTTTTTGTAATAATAAACTTTGTAACAGTACTTTAATTGTTAAAAAATGATAACGAGTGTTATTATTTATCCTTGGTACGTTTAGGACTGGAAATAGTTATTAACTGAACACGTCTAGGTGTCTTGGCAGAAAGAAATTGTAGTTTATCAGTTTTAGGCGGAGTAGTTTTGGCAGTTTTATTATCACTTTTTATATTTTCCGTAGTTTTAATTGGTGGTTCAACATTACTAACTTCATTGTAAACCAATTTTATATCTTCAGTATCCTCCATATTATCTGGTATGGATTTAACAGCATCAACATCCATCGCTTCATTATTAACATCAGGCAGAAAACATGCTTTTTTCTGGCTTACATTTTGTTTGTTAGTTTCTTTAGCTTCTGATCTTTCATTTAATTTAGAACCATTCACTGAATTAATTGATATTGGTTCATTGGCAGTGTAAACTTTACCTAATTCACCTTCTTGGAAGTGTATAATTGAACAGTAACCATCTGTTGATGACACCACCAATATACGACCATCTGACGACCTAATAAATTTCAATAGATCATTTTTAATAATTACTTTACACTCTGAATTAATTCTAAACGAATACTATATAATATGAAACCAAATGATTTCAAACTAGAGTGAAGTTGTCTACCCGAGCGAAGCGAGGGCTAGCATCACTCGGTATGAAATCGTGTTTCATCCCGCGTCACACATTATATGCATTAAAAATGCTAATTTCAACGTCTGGAGCCAACCAGAACTAGATAATTTCAAACGAATAGCGAAAATACAATTTTATTATTAAACTTATTAAAGAAAATTAAAAACTACAATTCAAGAAACTAATATTTTTTATTAAACACTAGATGTTACTTGAAATTTAATTGGAGTATTGTTTTGACTTGCACAGATTTTTCCAATTTTATCGAATTGGCATGCACCTTTTATCCATGTAATTGTTCTAGCTAATATTCATTGTAATTTTCAATGTGCAATCATTATAACATTCCCGTGTCTTTCTTACAAAAATTAATAATAATTGAAATGAAAAAAAAAAATTTGTAATGAGCATTGAAAGTTTCAGTTAAAGAAATTGCAGGTCTCATAAGTGAAGAAATCTGCCTAGTATATAAAAACATAACCAATAGAATTAAAAAATTTATTTTAAACAAATGACAATCGAATAGAATAAATTTAGTTACAATAAAAATTCATTATTTCTGAGTCAAAAAAATATAAGTTCCGGATAAGTAATCACCATCATATCATATATTAAAACTTTCTCCGAAACACGTTGCATCTTATGGTATAAGTATTATTCCGATTAGTTCAGTAGTTTTCGCAGTATAGACAGATAGATCATTCGTAAATTAGATAGTTTTATATTTGAATTTAATAAATAATTTATCAACTGTTAATAAATCGACGGTCTAATTAGCAATTGGTCTAACTCTTTATTTTTTAACATTTTGATACAGCAATAGTCCAATTATAAATTATTTGAATGATCCAAACCAAAATATTATACCTTTATTAGATATTAATGATATTAAATGGTTTTTTAAAGTGTTATTAAATTTTGAATCAATTGTTTTTTCATACAAATGGAAGATTCTCTAAAATGGAGTTAGACAATTTGCCAATTAGAACGTCGAAATATTTATTAAATCATATGATGTTAAAAAATCATTTAGGGTAAAAGACCCGATTACTGACACTTTTTTTGATTTTGGTACTTATTCAATTCATGAAATCATTAATTTCAATGATGAATATACTATTTCCAATCTTTAAGACCTTTGGATCAAAAAAATTTTTAATTTTTATTCCAAGTAGAACATTTTTTCATTGAAAGAAAAAATGTCACTAATAAGGATTAAAGGTACCACTAATAGGGTCTTTTACCTTATTAACAGTTAACCCTCAAGAGAAGCACTGGGTATGGGATACCCAGGTGTAAATTAAAAATATTTCTCCTTCAGAAATGGTTACAATGAGAAGGTGACTTTGCCTAGGGGAAAAATCTCTACTATCCCCACTACAGATTCCCCACCATAGTTATCTTAAGATGTGAATACGGACTAAAATATAGGCGGCCGTAGTCAGTCTATGGGTATGCAAGGTATGCGCTACCCAGTGCTGTTGTAGCGTCAGTATTTTGTTATTTTATCTGACTCAACGTATTTAATAAGTAGTAATAAAACGATAACTCGGAATGATTATATTTTAGATCTATCTTTATCTCTTATTAAGCCATTTTTGATAAGAAGACTTCAACTGCCTACTTTACAAACGACATTACGCTCACAAATAGAAGCTTTCCTAGATTATAAAGATTTACCTGAAATAGAAGACCCTAGAGATTTGATAGCTGACAATAAACTAGAAAAATATAAGCGATGTGGATTTTGTCCCAGTTCATTAGACCGAAAAACATGTTATAAGTGTTTAAAATGTAATATTCCAATGTGTAAAGAACATACAGCCAAAATTTGTGAAAAATGTAGCTTGAAGTTATATTCTTAATTTTTTGTAGCATCAATCCATTTAAAATATAAGTTTTATAAAGTAATTTAAATGTTTGTATTAATAAAAGAATAATGAATCCATATTTTTTAATTAAGTAATATCATTCTAAAAACACTGAACTTTACCTAACTAAATAAATATCTTTTATCAATTACAGTTAAATGACGAAATAACTATCTAAAAGTACATTTAATTCCCTTTCAAATGCCGTCGGGAAAAATTTTTTATCTATAAATTCTGCCTAGATATGGTAATTTGAATAAAACACCTCATTTTAAGGGTTTATGTTGATTTTTTTCTATATTATTCAAGATAATTTTTTCTTTATGACAATTCTATGAATATATTCTTAATCTACACTGTCTAAGCTTTAAAATGAAAAAAAAAAAAAAAAAAAAAAAAAAAAAAAATTCTATATCGGACAATTTGATCGAAAGATATTATTAATCAAAGACACGCGGGTATGGCATACCCAGTGCTTCTGGATCGCGCAGCAGCGATAGTGCTTCTCTTGAGGGTTAATAAAGCTTATTAAATATAAACAATTCCTTTTATCAGTGCAGTTTCTGCCCTCGGGAAAAAAATGATCATTTTCTGTCCAGAAACAGTCGCATTGGTCCGAAATTGACTAGTTTTGGTTGTGGCTCAACAAGCATTGAAACTCCATTTTCAATACAAGTTATATAAAAAATTAATAATTACTTACCAAGTAACATCAGTGAGACGGGTGTAGTGAATATTAGAAATAATAGCTATTGGTGATATCTGCTGTGTGTCGTAAATAAAAACAGATTTTTGGGTTGCTACTGCAAATACCAAACGATATGGCAGCGCTATAAGAGCGACTGGACCTTGATCTCTTAATTCAAAATATAATGGACAACATCTTACTGCAATCGTTGGTTCATCCAATGACGGCAATATCATTATTGGTCTAAATTTATTGTAAAAATAAAAGATATAAAATCAAACATGTACTTTTTAAAATATATAAAAAAAAAAACTTACTCTTTAATATTATTACGTGAAAAAATAACAGTCGAATTTGACAAACGATCTGTAGATTCTGGTGATTCAATAATACCTGAGGGTGCAATTATTAATGAACCATCAATAGTAAATGCTAATCTACGGAAAAATGATTTAAATGTATCATCGTAAAACAATCGTATTGTTTTATTTTCCAGCGGATGACCTGGTGGGGTTGGTATTTTCGATTTACTAACACGTTGGATTGTTTTCATACTATTTACATCAATAAGACGACACTGCCTAAAATTTTAATAACCAATTAATAAATACTCTATAATTTTTAAATAATTTATAGGAGATTAATAAAAATTATCATCATTACCTATCAGTACTCAAAGTTGCAATGTATTGATTACATGGATCCCAAGTTACTCCTTGAACAAATCCCTTGTAATCTTGTAAAATACTGATAGTACGACCTTTTTGCACATCCCAAATGATAGCAGTATTGTCTACCGATCCAGATACAAGCATATTATTGTCTGGTGACCAGCTGAGGTCATATACATCTTCCAAGTGCCCTCTCAATATTTTCCATGACGTCCATTGTTCTTCATTTAAATTTTCTTCACCAGGTAATGGAGGTGGTTCTGTTCCTTCCTTTTGCTTCCATAAACAAATTATTGACTCTGTAATAAATATTTAATGTCATAAATTTTAATCATCTTTAAAAAAAAGATGATACTGAAATCAACATAGTAAATTGTATAATTTTTTTAACAAGTAAAATATCATGACACTGAAAGTTAGCAGACGTCTAAAAATTTTTGATTTTTTTTATTAATTAAATTACAACTAAAAAGATATTTCTAAAAAATTGCACTTATAGTTTTCCAAGTTTTTTACATGTGAAATTTTTTTTTTAATTGTTTAATTGAAATTTTTTCAATAATGAATTTCTAAAAATTTTGAAATGACGGCTAACTTCATTTTCATGAAATAATATAAAAAAAATTTTATGATTTAAAATATCATAAAATATAATAATAATAATAATATCATAAAATATCAGAAAAAATTCTCCACGTAAAAATTTTTAAAAATCATTGATGCAACTTTTTTAGTATTAATTTTTTTTTTGAAATCGAAAAATTTTTAAGTGTGCTAATCTTAGTATTATAAAAAAATAAGGTTATAAATGTTAATAAATAATCTGAACCATCATCTCCAGTAGCTAAAATTTCTCCAGAGGGTGAAAATCTGACAACATTCACGGATTTTTGGTGACGATTCAAGTCAGCAACACAGTTCACCAACGCTACGCCTAATTCATTTATTGTTACATGCCAAATCTATAAAAAAAAAATAAAAATATATATTATTAATATTAAAATATAAATATTAAATATAAATAAAGTTTTTACAAACCAAAACATGAGAGTCGGCACCACCAGTTGCTAAACGCCAATAAATTTTATCAGTTTTATCATCCTTGTTAAATTTACATTGTTGTAAATCAACACTCAATACTGGATCACGATTGTGCCATGATATTTCTGGTATTGTACACTTCATAGTAATTAACTCTTTAAATTTTTTAACAATTACTTATATAAAAAACAATAATAAAAAATAATCTACAAAACAGAGAAGTTTAATTAACGCCAAATGCCATTGTGATATTCAGTGTGGCCAGGGAACGTGCTCTTTTCTTACCCCCACTTTGTAGGCCACTCTCATCAGCTTGCGTCGGTTAAGATGCGCGTCAAATCTGCGCATTAAATAGACGTTAAAAATGTTTGAATTTCGTCCAGTTCGCTGATTGGTTGTCGGGTTTCGAGGAATCATCAGCTGAATCTCACCGTAATATTTTTTCTGAAATGAAAAATTTTAATTAAAATATAAGTTTATTAAGTAAATATTTGAAAATAAATGATTTAATAACCTGACAGTGATTACCGAAGGCATGGGTACAGCTGTATTCCGAATTTCTCAGCTCAACGCCACCTTTATTCCAAGTTTTTGGCTTCAACTTAAAAAAACAAAATAACAACTTTACTCGATACTCGCACTGCTCGAAAACAACTATACTCTGTGTCAAGTTTACTCAATACTAACTTTATTCGGTGTCATTTCGTCTCAACAATGTAACAGAGACATTTGGCAAAAAAACAACTCGACTCGCAATTTCTTTACGCAAAGCCATCTTTACTCAAAATCAGAATTTTCAGCACAAAATAGAAATGACAACTCTATTCTATTCTTTCATTACTCAATGACAGCTTTATTCAAATCCAACTTTACTTAAAACCCACTGTACTCAGTGCAATCTTTACTCAATAGTATAGCCAAAGATACAGCGAGTGCCGGTAAGGAAGATATGACTCCATTATCGTGGGGCGCTGCATAAATGTTCCTAAACTATCTAAAGATACGAAAGATACAGAGAGGTATTTTAGAATAAGTGATATTTTGATTTTTAAATTATAAATATTATTAGATGTAAAAAAAAATTAGACTGAGTGATTTTTAGTTCATACGTTTTTTTATATTGCTTAATGTAAAACCCTTGATATACTCTTTATGATGATTTTTGAATTATAAATATTTTTAGATTAAAACAAAAATTAGAATTCTTAAATTATAATAGACAAATTAAATTTTCAATTACCAAAAAGTTAATAAAATGTTTCTTCACATAAAAATCTTGGTTTATAAATACGAATTGCTATTAATGATTAAATTTATAATATTAATAAATAGCTACTCTTTAACAATAAACTATTAATTTAAATTTTATCAACTTACAAAACGAGCAACAGAACATTATTTAAAAATATATTTTATTTTATTTTTCATTACTTCCGAACTGCAATGCAATGATCTGATCTCCGGTCTGGCAAATAATCAATAATATGTTCAAATCGAAGTTCTTCATTTTTTTACATACTCCAAATACTATTACATCTTTTACTATTTCGGCCAATTGAAAAACTAGTTGTCCTTATTTGATAAAAAAAATTCAATTAATAAAAAAATGCATTTAAAAATAATAAGTTGTTTAACTTAATAATATAAAAAATCATATAATTTTATATTAATTTTTCCGTAAAATAAACAAGAGTAATAAAATAATCTTTTACTTATATTAGTATATTACGTATCGGCTCGCTTTAAATAAAATATTAAATACTGAACGAAATTAATAGATACGTCCATTAATAGATTACATTCACAAAAGAAAAGTGTTTACTTGAATGTTTTTAAAAAAAAAGACAAACAAACAAGTTAGAAACAATAATTTCTTATCACGTCCTCTACTTGTAACTATAAGTAGCGTCATAAAAATTAAATACAAAAGTCGGAATTTTGAAAATAGAATTTTTTGTTATTAAAATATAAATGTATTTACCCATTACTATCATTCAGCAATGCATGAAAAATTTTTGAAAACCATTCAATTAATAATCGATAATTTATGAATTTTGTTACCTATAAAAATTGGAAAGAATTTTTATAATTTTAAACTAAAAGGTGACTTAGTAAACAAGTTGGAAACAATCTCTCACCGCCTCATCAAACTGTATTTGAGTGTCGATACAAAATTAAATACTCTATAGACTTGTTTTTTAAATAAAAAATGTATATTTTTTTATTATTATTATTTTATTACAAGTATTTTATAAATTTTTGAAATAAAAAATTGTTTGTTTGTCTTTTTTTTTAAAAACATTCAAGTAAACACTTTTCTTTTGTGAATGTAATCTATTAATGGACGTATCTATTAATTTCGTTCAGTATTTAATATTTTATTTAAAGCGAGCCGATACGTAATATACTAATATAAGTAAAAGATTATTTTATTACTCTTGTTTATTTTACGGAAAAATTAATATAAAATTATATGATTTTTTATATTATTAAGTTAAACAACTTATTATTTTTAAATGCATTTTTTTATTAATTGAATTTTTTTTATCAAATAAGGACAACTAGTTTTTCAATTGGCCGAAATAGTAAAAGATGTAATAGTATTTGGAGTATGTAAAAAAATGAAGAACTTCGATTTGAACATATTATTGATTATTTGCCAGACCGGAGATCAGATCATTGCATTGCAGTTCGGAAGTAATGAAAAATAAAATAAAATATATTTTTAAATAATGTTCTGTTGCTCGTTTTGTAAGTTGATAAAATTTAAATTAATAGTTTATTGTTAAAGAGTAGCTATTTATTAATATTATAAATTTAATCATTAATAGCAATTCGTATTTATAAACCAAGATTTTTATGTGAAGAAACATTTTATTAACTTTTTGGTAATTGAAAATTTAATTTGTCTATTATAATTTAAGAATTCTAATTTTTGTTTTAATCTAAAAATATTTATAATTCAAAAATCATCATAAAGAGTATATCAAGGGTTTTACATTAAGCAATATAAAAAAACGTATGAACTAAAAATCACTCAGTCTAATTTTTTTTACATCTAATAATATTTATAATTTAAAAATCAAAATATCACTTATTCTAAAATACCTCTCTGTATCTTTCGTATCTTTAGATAGTTTAGGAACATTTATGCAGCGCCCAACGATAATGGAGTCATATCTTCCTTACCGGCACTCGCTGTATCTTTGGCTATACTATTGAGTAAAGATTGCACTGAGTACAGTGGGTTTTAAGTAAAGTTGGATTTGAATAAAGCTGTCATTGAGTAATGAAAGAATAGAATAGAGTTGTCATTTCTATTTTGTGCTGAAAATTCTGATTTTGAGTAAAAATGGCTTTGCGTAAAGAAATTGCGAGTCGAGTTGTTTTTTTGCCAAATGTCTCTGTTACATTGTTGAGACGAAATGACACCGAATAAAGTTAGTATTGAGTAAACTTGACACAGAGTATAGCTGTTTTCGAGCAGAGAGAGTATCTAGTAAAGTTGTTATTTTGGTTTTTTTTTCAAGACTAAAACTTAGAATAAAGGTGGCGTTGAGCTGAGAAATTCGGAATACAGCTGTACCCATGCCACTCAAATTTGTAGAATAATTATTAAATTGAATAAAATATACATATTTATAGGCAAGTGGTGGCATCCTTCAAGGGATACTAGGAACACCCACGTAGTGACGTCAAAGAAAAAGAAAAAGGGAATAACTGCGGCGTGTCTTGGCGGCCATATTTCTAGTGAGGTGTCATTACTAATAGGTATATTGTATTTAATTTTTTTGCTTGAAGTTTGTATATTTTATTACTCAAAGTGGTTAGTATAAAGTGTTACCCCGCCCATCTGTTGATTAATAAGTGTCCAAAACGTATTTTTTTAAAATAAAAATAAAAGGTGAGGCTTTTCAAATCTTTAATTAAGATTTCAATATTGGGTTAATAGCAGATAACTCGTGAAATTTAAGGTTGATTGATATGCTACAAGTTACAATTCATAATTTGGGTCACGTTCATTAATAAATTACTGATATTATAATTTTACTATGTTATTGGTTATTATATTAATATCATTGTTTATTTATTATATATGTGCATGCATTTTTTTTTGCCTGCATATATTTTTTACATGCTGTATTTTTTGTAAATCATATGTGATACGTTAGTTTTTATGTTTTTTTTTTTATTTTTCTTATTCTTGTTGAATATAAATGATGACTAATTATTGCTTCATAAGTTATTATCATTCTGTTGGTTTAATTATCTAAATATTAATACTTTAAAAGTACTGCATATATTTAATTACATACATGTAGTTTACAAAATTACTTATAATTATTTCAGTGGTCAATTAATTGGAGAACGGTCGGTCATTTATTGGGTTTCTTCGGTCAATAATTGGTGATTTTAGTATTTCAACATTCAAATAACAAAATTAACATAATTTTATTAATTTTTATTATAAATAGTTATTAATTATTATTAATTAAGTATTTAATTTGAATAATTCATCAGAAGGGAATTGGGAATAGAGCACATAGAGTATATATTAAAAGAAAGGGCACTCAGGTACCTGGTAGATATAATGAAGCTTGAAGATAACAAGCAACAGATGGCCAAAGATATGCATGAAAGAAGAAATGAGGGGAATAATCAACAAAAATCCAACAAAGTGGGAAAAAAAAGTAGAGAATTTTCTAGTGGTGATAGGCATAGAAGAAATTATTAGGAGAATATACGAGGGAGGAAATGTAGAAGAAATAGAGGAAAAAGTAAAGGAGGGACTGGAAAAATACAAAAAAGAACTAGAAAAAAAGGAAAAGTTGCTAATAGAAAAGTCCAGATATAATGAGTTTTACAAAGATATATTACAAGAAAGTGAAAACAGCTATTGGAAAAAAGATCAAATTAAAAGTGAGTACAAAGAGGTATGGTCAAGAACGAGATGTGGAAATCTGTGGAGAAGTGGAAAAAAAGGGCAAAAGAATTGAGAATGCAGAATATGCAAGAAAGAGGAGGAGACACTGATGCATTTATTAAGCTGTTCAGAGATATTTGAAAAAATAAGTGAAAAAGGTCAACAAGCATGAAACAAGTGGATGGGAGAACTAAAGGGGGAATTAACAAGAGAAAGAGTAGTGATAATTTTAAAAGGGGAAATAAATAGGGATCTGTGTATATATGTTAGAGAAATGGAAAGATTATTCAAGGAAATTGAGTAGTATTACAATATTGAATGTCAGAAAAAGGCTGTCATTAATATACAGGGATAGATACTAGAAATAAGTATGAAATAGTATTAATAGTATTGTAATGCGACTGTGATATGAAGGATGAGGTGTGTAAAAAGTTAAAAGAGAGTACAAGCAGTTGAACTTTAAGCCAAAAATAGTGTATATGCAAATGTAATAAAATAATTTAAGATACAGTTTTGTAAAACGCAATATGTGATACAAATAAAAACGATATTCTATTCTATTTAATTTGAATAATTTCCATTACAAATTGTTTTTAGTAGGTTAATAGATTTTTTATAGCTTATACAGAAAAAGAAAACCTTAATCGGTCAATAATTGGTGCATTTACCCTAAATCCTAAAAATTTCTTTAATTCAATTAATTTGCATCATTTCCTGTATATAGTTATGACTCAATAATTTTATATCACGATTTAGAAAGGCTAACAATATTACTATGATATCATTATAATTTTATGCAGATATGACCATCACTTTATTATGAATTCATGTTAATATCATAATGATTTCATAATCAAATTACTAAAAATTTTCTTTCTTCAACAAGAAAAATAAAAATTTTATCATTTAGTTAAAAAAAAAAATTTGTTCCCATAAATATTTTACTTATAACGGGTATCAAATGTATCGTATATTAATATGGCTTTTATATGAATCTCATATTTGTATCAAAATGGGCTTGATATAATGGACCTCATCATGATATCAGATGATTTTACACGGGAAATAGTATGGTATGGAATTAACGGAAAGTTGCAGGGATGGCCTTCAGGGTCAACCATTTTCTTAATTTTTTATGATAGTATTCAATAAGAAATTACTGTGTAAGAATAAGTAATTATAAGTCCTTTGTATCATTGACTATTTCACATATAATATTGTGTGATAAATTGATGAGATTATACGGTAAGCAAGTTAAATATTCATAATTCAAGATGAAAATTACTTGATAAATTTACAACGATTGACAAAGTGGAACACAAAGGGGTGTTTAAACAACAAAGTATGCAAATGCAGATTGATATATCTAATACACAATATAGGTTTTCATTTTTAGTAGATTTCATAGAAATCTAACTATTGCATTTGTCCTCATGATGCAACTTTTGAAAAATTTTGCTATTTTCTGACTCAGTTCGTCAAGCTGGTGCAGAAAATGCCATTAGTTCAAAAGTTTATTTATATATATATATATATTAGAGTGTGCCAAAATGTATCTTCCTTGATGGACCTTTTAAAATTAGAATTTTGAGTTCCGCTTTTAACAGGAGTTGTGTTTGGGCATTTCCTGTCATACTTTGAGGGTAAAGGATTTATTTGATTTTTATATAATTTTTTAACAGGAGTTTTGTTAATTCGGCTAAATTTTGAAAATTTTAAATTCCAGCAAAAATGGCCGAACGAAACTCCTGATAAAAAATTCTATAAAAATCAAATAAATCCTTTATGCCCAAAATTTGTCAGGAAATTCCCAAACACAACTCCTGTTAAAATTACATATATACATACATAGTGAAATCCTCGCGGGGATAGTCAGGGAAGCTTCCTGTGACCTTCAAACGTCGAGATCTGATGAAAACTCGATTTTTGCAAAACGGGGTGAAAACAATAACTTCCCGATTTTTGAAAATCCTCGATTTTCTTAGCGGGAAGTTAAAAATTGTGCTAATCGATATTTTTATGGAGATATCGATTGTTAAAATTTTCAATTGTCGGATGTCGACTGATTCACACTCATTATTTAACAAATAAATTATTCATAGAAAAATATTTCAAAAAAATTGCATTCAGTTTTCCACAAATTTTACTTGTAGAAATTTGTTTGAACTATTTTTCGCCTTTTTTTAAAATTTATATAAATAAAATTTTGAAATTAAATTTATAAAGATTTTTTAATTTTTAATATTTTTTTTTACTCTGGACTATTCTTGATTTGTTAATTTAATGTGACATTTTTAACTAGTTTAGCAACACATATACATATACATACACACCTTGAAATGCTTTTTTAAATTTCTTGCCAGCGCCATCTACAAAACAGCTGTTTGCTTCCCCGATAGAGCAGCTCGCTGTTTTTTTCTGCATCATATATTCATGTATTCAATGAATGATGTATGATTTACTATGATGATTATAATTATCTCATTACGAATTATAAAAAGCTCTAAAGTTGACTTATAAATGGAATTAAAGATAACCTTTGTGCCTTTTTCCGAAAGTGATAGTTAGGAAGAAATAATTAAAATTTTCACCAATTAATTTTGCTTAAAAAATAGCCAAATAATAAAACAATTATAAGTTACGGTAAGAATTTATCAACAATAACCCTAACCAATAATACTTAACCCTAGTAAAAGCATAACTTATAAATAATAATTAATAATAAATTACAGTTTCAATAAAATTTTTATTTTTAATTACAGACATATTGAGTGTTAAAAATAAATCTAAATACCAGTGAACATTTTTTCGATACTAAACACACAACATAACATATTTTAGTGTTTTATTTCAAGGTAACGCAATCTAATTCTAATAATATATAACAAGTAAAATAATATAAGATGATATTTTATTTCACAACCTTGATCACTGGTGTTTGTTGTACATAGCAGTGTAAAGTGTTGTCCAAAGGAATAGTGTATTGTTAGTTTATTAAAATTTATAGAAATATAAACAATGTCGGAAAAAGCATCTGGGCTAAGACAGCCTTCGAAAATAGGACGACCGTGCTGTACGGGTCCACCTAAGCCAGCGGTACCGTCTCCGTCGCCTAGATCTTCAATGAGTGAGTACTGAATTTATTATGAATGTTTGATTTTTTAAAGGCTGATTTAATTGTTTAATTGCACTGAACAGTTACTGAATTAGAGTGTTTTGTAAATAAACCGACATGCGAACGTGACAGCATTTACTTTGTCCAAAGTACTTGTATGTTGGAGTATATGATTTATACTGTTAATGTATAGTAGTAATATAATTGTGATGGGTAAGTATACAATAATAAAGCCCTCTCTATAAGGAGTTACCCCTTCTTGAAGAATATCAACAGAAGAGTCTGGAGTCGTGTTGTGCTGGACCCGGCCAGACTCACTGCTCTTACTTAACGTTAGGATCTTGTCTCAGTTACTGTACTGATAGTACGCCTACGAGTGGAAACGAGTTTTTATCTGCCGGTATATTTATTATTACTTGTACTTTTTTGTTATTATTCATTATATCTTGATATTTATTTGGTAAATGTTTAAAAGTGATAGCGAGGATTTAAACCCATTGTTTCATGGTTTTTAAATTTAAATTTTGATACTAGTGAGGGTTTCATTTTATAATGACACTGAAGTTGGCAGACGTCTAAAAATTTTTAATTTTTTTTATTAATTAAATTACAAATAAAAAGATATTTCTAAAAAATTGCTCTTATAGTTTTTCAAGTTTTTTACATGTGAAATTTTTTTTTTTGTTAAATTGAAATTTTTTTAATAAAAAATTTCTAAAAATTTTGAAATGTCGACTAACTTCATTTTTATATTTTATATTGAATTTTGAGGAAAAATTAATTATATTTTTTTCTATGTTTTTGTAATTAACTATAAAATTTTTTAAAAATAGTTATTGATAATTTTTTAAAGAAGTTTTTTGAATTTAATTTTTTGATTTATTGAGTTTTTTAAAAAAAAATTTTTATTTTTGTTTCATTCTTTTTGGAGTAAATTTTTGGATTTTTTTTAATTAAATTAATGAGAAGAAATTAATTAATAATTATTGTTATTTAAATTACACAAATAATAGTTATATATTTTTAAAACTTTTATGAAGTAGGAATTTTTTAAAATTAAATATTAATGAAAATTACTTGATTTTTTTAAAGAAAATTTTTATATAAAAAAAATTGAATTGTTTTAAATTTTATGATAAAATTAATTTGCTAAAAAAATTATTGGTAATTCTTGTTAAAATAAATTATTTGAAATTTTTTAGTTTTTAGTTTTCGTTAGAAAAAATTACAATAATTTTTCTAAAAAATTAATTACTAATTTATATTGAGAAAATTTTTCCAAACTAGAAATTTAGAAAAATTAATAAATTCATGACTTTATGTAAAAAAAAAAAATTATAAATCAAAATCTAGAACACGTATCATACCTTATTAGTTTCAATTTAAGTGAAATCGTGAAACCTTCGTACTATAAAAAAAAAAAAATAAATTACTCACGTGATGTCATTAATTGTTATTACTTTATATAAACCAATAATAGTATTTGATCAATGAAATAATTTCGTGTTAAATAAATAATAATATTTGCTGAAATAATAAATATTTATTGAAATGTCATAATGACAAGTACACGATAAGTTCGATGTTTGATAATGCAAAATAAAATTTATTAGATGATAATAATAATCGAAGTGTAGGATTAATCATTTTAAGATTCTAAATACGTGGAATAGATGTAATTAATGTTTAATTAATGTTAATGAGCTTGTAATTATAATGGCTCAAAAAGAGGTAAATTCGTGTACGTTATTTATAGCAATTAGACACACTGAGTAATTTGTGGCTTACATTATTGTACGTGTGTAATGTTAATGATTATTCTACGTTGACGTAATACCTTATTTCGCAAGACTAAAAAAATTATAAGAATTCTCGGTGAACCCGCGCCTCCCATAAATGGTATTCACCATTGAAACCAGTTGTATTATATACAAAACATCACAAATAAATAAATAACAAGGACATTTTACATTATTTTTGGACTTGTGTGTTTTTAAAAACGTAAACAATACTCACTTCATTTTTTTACAAGTTTTCTTTGTATTATTGATTAAAACTCTAATTAAAAAATTCATTTTAGTATATTTGTTCAATTTTTATAAATAAAAAATTATATATTAAATAATGATAAAAAAAATGAAAAAGTATTCTACAAAATAAATTGTTGAAAATTATTTATAGAAAAAATAATGTCAAGTTTGAAATTACTAATAATTTTTTTTATAAAAACTTAATCATACTAAAAATATTTTTACATTTACTTATATTGTTCTAAAATCATGAATAATTTATTTATAATATATAATTAAGTAATTTTCCATTTGCAGTTTATTTCTTTGAAAAAAAAACAAGTACAATGTTTAAAAAATAATATCAATAATTTAATCTTTAAAAACATTTTTTTAAACTTAGAAATAATCTTATAAAATTAAAAAAAAATTAATTATTAATAAAAAATATCAGATAACATAATTAAATTATACATAATTTAATAACATAATAAAATAAAAAATAATTATCCTCAACAAAAACTAACTAATGAATAATTAAAATGAAAATAATCAGAATATTATCTAAAGACATTTACTCAATAATAATTAATGATTTGCAGAATGACAAGTAAAAGTCACAGTAAAATAAACTGCATCAGTTTCCGTTAACTCGAGCAACAGAGAATTCTTTGTTAGAGTAATACTCATATAATCAGCTTTCCATCTTGTTATCCCCAACAAACACGAGTAAAGACAAGGTTCTACCCACGCAAACTAGCTCTAAATCCCCACAACATAATAAACATTAAAATTAGCATTAGTATTAGTATTTACAACACATAAAGATCTTGTTATAACCACACCCACGTATATACGAATATTCATTAATGCAATTACTAATCGAGCAACCGATCTCGATCTCATGATCATAACATTTAACTACGGATGTCATATGTGTCACCCACGCTAAAATGTTACCGTCACACTAAATAAATAATTAAACACCAGTGACAAATTCTACTCAGAGATTTAATTATTCAAAAAGATAAATTATTGACAAAATTAAATCACCGGGTTTATAATACAATTATAATAATTGCGTCTCAAGCCTAGCCCGACTTCCTAAAAAACTAAAAAAATAACGTCATGCCGTATTTATATAATCCCACATAATGCTCTTACAAGATCATAAGACCAAAACCGATTGGATTATAACTAAACTTCCGGTAGTAATACTCAGATAAGATGATTATGATCCTCGATAATGTAATTATCAAGGAAATAACATGTCACCGGTTCATTTAACACTAAAGAGAGTTAATTGGAAGCTTTAAATCAAATCCCTACCTCTACCTCTACCTTGTCTAACTCATAAACATAAATAATCTTCATTTATATTTTATACTGTTGACTGATCATTTGGCTTTTGAGTTACAAGTTGCTTTCATACCACAACTTTGTTGTCCTGTTTGCATGCTAGATTCAATGGAGCCGATTTATGAAAATCCGGTCCGTAGAACTGATGCGCTACGTCGTGGATCAGGTAGGACGCACGATTTTATCTGAAAATTAAAAAACATTTTGATTATTTAAAATTATTTATGTTTTTATTTAATGTGTAATTCTTAATTAAAAGATTTTCTTTTTAGATACGAGTGTTGTGTTGACGGAAGATACCGACAGTTTTATAATTGGAGATCGAGTATGGGTCGGCGGATCGAAACCAGGATCTATTGCTTACATTGGCGAGACTCAGTTTGCTCCTGGAGAATGGGCTGGTGTTGTTTTGGATGATCCTATTGGTAATTTAAAAAAAAAATTTTGCAAACAGTGTTATTCTGAAATATAATCATAAATGTAGTTTTGAAAAAAAAAAAAATACTAACAATTTTAACAATTTACAATTAGAAAAAACACTTGTTTCTTATTAGCAGATAAATCATGTTAGAAAAAAAAAATTTTTCCTGATTTAAAATGGTGGAATAAATGTCAAAACTTGCTGCTAAATTATATTTAAATCTCATTAATGAACAATTATCAGCAATTTTTTTTTTTGTATTTGTATATTTTAATGAAATTAAAACAGAAGTTTTTTTTTTCATTAAATTAATTCTTTGATTGATCCGTTTATTGTCAATGGTTATATTTGAACAAGTACCGCAAAAAAATATTCTAAAAAAAAGTTAATTCAATTTTTATAAAAGACACTGAAGTTGATAGGCGTTAGAAATTTTTTTTGAATTTTATGGCAATGAAATTATTACTAAAAAAAATTAAATAAAAAATTCCATATGTGAAAATTTTAAAAAAGTTATTAGTAAAAATTTTTCAAAGCATTTTTTTGTAATTGATTTATTATAAGATTAAAAAAAATTGACCGTTGTCACCTAACTTCAGTATCATTTTTTATAACTATGTAATTCTTTTTAATGAACCTGAAGTAAACAAACATCTGTCAATTTTTTTTATTTTTATAACAATTAAACTACAATGAAAAAATTTTAACAAAAAAATTCCACATCTAGAGATGAAATTAAAATGACATTAAAGTTAGCAGTCACTTGATTATTTTTTAGTTTTTTTTAACAAATAAATTTGTTCCAAAAAATTATTTTTGAAAACTTGGATTTTTGTTTTTTTTTTTTTTAATTTCTACATGTCAATTTTTTAATAATTTTTTTTGCCATAATTTATTAGTTAAAAAAATTCTTAAAATTATCAAATATCTGCTAAATTAATTTTTATGAAATAAAATTACAAGTGTAAACTTTTTAAAAATAATTGATTTTTTATAAAAAATAAAAAAATTGTCAAATGTCTCATTTCAGTAAAATTCTTTTTAAAATATTTTGAATTATCAATTTAATAACTTACCTTATTTTCAGGAAAAAATGACGGATCAGTAGCGGGAGCGCGTTATTTCCAATGCGCACCAAAGCACGGAATCTTCTCGCGTTTGACTCGGCTGACCCGTTTCCCACTGGTCGACGCAGTATCACCGAGAATGAAGAGTCCAGCGAGTCCTGACAGCCGTCTCAACAAATCTATTTCACCGTCTCTAAGTAAATACCGCTACTATTACCGTCGTCCGTAAATAAATAGGACCTCTACCTGCACAGCTTACATGTATTTTCCGTAGTTGTAGTTTACTCCTAACCTAATTATTTTTCAGAGTTATTTTAAAGCTTTTTGTTTTGTTACTAATAAAAAAATGAACTATTAAAGAGAGCACAAAATAAAACACATGTTCCTACTGTAATTTTTAAAGTGTGTAATGTTAAGATAAATTTCATGTAGATGCCTCGATGACCAGTTTATCATCAGTATCGCAACGTGATTTAAAAATTGGAGACCGCGTTATTGTTTCTTCAAGTCAAGGCAGCAAGACAGGAGTGCTGAGGTTCATCGGTGAGACCGAATTTGCAGCCGGCGAGTGGTGTGGAGTCGAATTGGACGATCCAGTGGGAAAAAATGATGGTTCTGTTGCTGATAAAAGGTCTCCAATCAATTAACATCTGATTTTTTAGAGTAGACGCTGCTAGAAAAATAAATTAATATAAATATTAATAAATTATATTAACTAACCAACTAGGTACTTTGAATGTCGTCCTAAGCATGGGCTCTTTGCACCCTTGCACAAAGTATCAAGATCACCGTCCAGTAAGAGACCATCTATTTGCGTTGTCCATAAGCCCAGTGGAGCTGCTCTTAACTCCTCGCTTAGAAAAACCAGCTCCAGAGAATCCCTGACTTCGTTATCGAGTCTGGCAAGCACCACTGCCAGTACTGCGACCCGTGGAGCTACCAGGGTAAGATTCGCGACTTCTGAGTGATCCTACTCAATTACATCCTTGATAATTCAATTGTCCTTTCAAACTTACATAAATGTCGTGCTGACGTTTGTAAATTTGAAACGGTTTTTTTTTTTTTTTTTTTACGAGAAACCGTGATACTACTAGTATTAATGCATGAAGTCTAGATTTTCGCTGCATGGCCAAAGTATTTTTTAACATTTGATATTGCAGAAAGCTGGCTTGCGCACTACGACACCTGCCAGAAGCTCATTGCAGGTGAGATTTACTAATGAATTAACAGTTAGATATATTTATTGTACTTAAATTTTTTATTTTATTTTTTTAAAATAAAGTGCTTAGATTTTTAGATTTTAAGCGATTTAGTTTTAGTTATTAATTGTTTGTACAAATTGCTTGTAATAAAGTTATTTATTTTTGTTTGTTATTAATTGTTAATTATAAATAACAGTTATGTATTGTTGAATAAAGATTTTATTCCTATTTCCTTATTAATTATATCTGGAATTAGTTGTAAATAAAGTAAAGCTTGTATGCTGTAAAAAATTTTTGGTATGAAAATAGCACCCTGAATCATGATGATATGATTTAAGTTTTTTAAATCGGTTCAGTAGATGCTGAGATATTGATAATCCGTACATTCTTACGTACGCACACTGAAAAAAAAAAAAATTAACTTGATTCAAGAGAAAAATTTTTGAACCAAGAATATAATTTTAAAGAGGATAATTGTCTTGAATCAAGTAAAATTTCCTTAAATCAAGAATATTAAGTTCTTCAAAATTATATACTTGATTCAAGAACAATTTTTTTTCTGTACAATTAACCTTAATTTAGACAAAAATGTTTAAACTAAATTTCTGGCTGGATAGGAGATACGAAAAAATAGTAAAAGACATTTTTTTGTAGGGAATTTCATTATCTACACGGAAAAAACAAGATGACACTGGATATCATCCCAGATTATACTGAGTGAAAAAAAAAAATTTCAGATAGTAGCTAGTATAATCCAGATTACAATGAGTATAATCCAAATATCATGCAGTATAATCTGGATTTTTCTAACTACTATCTGAAATTTTTTTTCACCACAGATATCACTGAGTATAATCTGGGATGATATCCAGTGTCATCTTGTTCTTTTCGTGTACCAAATAAGTTTCAAAATTTTTTTAATATCTTTAATATTTGAGCCAGAGACTCGATTTTTGAGTTCATAAAACGATAACAAAAAAAATTAGAAGTTTGAAATCCAAATTGAGTTTTATTGTACTGATAAAATTTTTACCCAGATAATTTTTTACAACATGTTAGCCTGAAGTATATCTTAGTTTATTTTTATAAAGTTGATTTATTAATCCGTTTTATTGCTGATAACCTTGAAAAGAATGATTGATTTTCAGGAGATGTTGAAGGAGAAGCAACAAGAAATAGAAATGTTAAGAAAAGAAAGAGATCTCGAACGCGAAAGAATAACGAAAGCAGCAACTCAAGCCGACCATGCGGAGCAAAAGATATTAAAGCTCCAAAAAGAATATGATAAGGTAGTTTTAATTTGTTTTTATATAAAACCTCTCTTTCGACTGAATTATTTATAGACCTAAATTATAAGTGACCTTGAATTATTATGTATCGGTAGTATCGAGAAGATATGGAGAGAGCAGTTTTGGAGGCGCAGTCGGCGCTCGAAAAGCTGTTGGAAGAAAAGAGTCAGCTGTTTGCGCAGCTGGAAGAAGAGAAACAAAAGAGCGAAGATTTATTGTTTCGTTTTGAGGAAGAGTCTGTTAACAAAGAAGACATCCAGGTGGCTAAATATTTATTTTTGTTTTTGTTTTCGGTTAAATTTAAATTTATAATTCTTATCATTATGAAGCTTTTTATTCTGGTGATGGAATGATTTAAAATTTAGAAATTTTTAAGAGCTTTTGCTAACGACCACTACACATTCTATCGTTTTTATTCACTTTTCAGACAGAGAGAGCTGAAATTGATGTAAGTAATAATTTTTATCCAGTTATTTTTTGCACCGCTTGCACTCTTGTAAAAAATACTTTTAATCTCTACTAACTCACTTTCATTTCAAAGCATCTGCGAGTGTTTGTCTATTTTAAGTTTAGTAAACTCTCAATAATGCCTTGAGATTAGGAATTTTTTGAGTGGACTAATTTGTCAGATTATTTTAATGAAGACAATCTTTATTTATTTAACTTTTTTTTTTTTATTATTATTAATTAAAACGTGTGTTATTAATAATTATTAACAATAAATTTTGTTTGATGTGTATTAACAATTTGTCTGAAATTTGTCAAGCAATTTTACTAATTAAATTTGATGTTCTGCAGGTAATTAATACTCACAACGAGACTAAAATAAACGAGTTGGAGAGTCAATTGACAAAGGAGCGAGAACGAGTGATCCAGCTTGAGAAAGAACATACCCATCTACTTGAAGTTGAAGATGAGCTTGCTAAATTACGGCATGAAAAGACAGAATTTTTAGGTAACTTTCAATTACATACTACTACTTATTGAGATATTATATATAACGCACTTAAAAGGCCAAAAAATGCGATTTTTCAATCATTTTTTCTAAAGAAGCTTTTTAACTGCTTTGAAAATGGCCCCGTTTAAGTTTTCTTAGTTCATAGCAAGAAAATTACTATATTCTCTCTGAAGAATATTTATAAAAGAATAATGTAAAGTATACTAATCTAAGCTCAGTCCTGTTTGGTACTTACTAAATTTGATCGGGGCCAATTAATATATACAAAAGTTGAAAATTTTTTCGATTTTCTTCATTAATTAAATTAAAATTAAAAAAATATGTTCATTATTTACAAGTGGGGTCCACCCTATTATTGACCATAACTAGGTGAAAAATTAACATTTTTTAATTTTTTTTATTCTACTTGTTTTTACGGCCCACTTATGATAAAAAATGTCGTGAAAGAACAAAATAAAGATTTCGATAGATTTTTTGCTTTCAAACGTTGAAAAAAATTTTTGCTCTCATGTTTTTGGATAAAATTTCTATTTTATCTTTTTTTGATATTTTTGATACATATTTTTTTGAAAAGTACATAAAAAAACGAACAATTAAAAAAAAAAAGTTGAACATCACAATTTTCTAAAAAATTTATAAATTTTTTGAAAATTTGTTAAAATTGTGATGATCAACTTTTTTTTTTAAATTGTTCATTTTTTTATATATTTTTCAAAAAAAAAAAAAAAAATTAAAATCAAATAGAAATTTCGTTCAAAAAAATGAAAATTAAAATAGTTGACCCCATTTGTAAATATTTTTAAAAAATTACATTAATAGTTTTTCAAATTTTCTGCAAGTGAACTTTTACTTTTTATTATTTTATAATAATTTTTTTTTTAAGAAGGAAAATCATATAAATTATCAGATATCTTCTAATTTTATTTCCTAAAAAATTGGCAGTTTCCTATAACAATTTTAGTCGTTAATTTTTTATAAAAATATCAAAAATTTATCAGAAATATTAATCCTTGAATCAATAACTGAAAAATGTATGTACATTACAAAAATAAAATTAAAAAAAAAAATTAGTTTAAAAAATTCTACGCCCGTATAGCTTCTTAAAAAATTGAATGAACAATAAATCTAAAATTTATTTTTCAGAATTACAAAACCGCAATTGGTGTTTGGAGGAAGCTAAAATAACTTTAGAAAAGCAAATATTCGAGCGTAACGACCAGATAAAAGCCCAGGAGAAAAAAATAAATGAGCTGCAGGTTAAACTTAATGAAGGTGAACAAGAAAATGTCAAGACAAAAGACCAAGAGGTTAGTAACCAGAAGGCTTATGACGAGCTCAAAAAGACTTTGGAAGAGAAGACCAAGTTGCTGGACGAGATTTCGAAGGAAAAGGATCAAGGTAACGAGGCGTTGAAGCAGGAGATTGAGAAGCTGAAGGAAAAAATTGAGGAGCTCATCAAAGAAAGTAAAAAAGAGAGAGACGCTCTTGTGGAAAAATACGAGAAAGATATTGAAGACAAGGACAATCTTATCAAGACTAAGAGCAAAGAGCTTGAGGAAGAAACTGTTCAGAATGTGGAAAAGCAAAAAGCGTTGGCTCAACTTCGAGTAGACAATGAGGAACAAATGAATAAATTGACTGAGAAATTAAACGAGCAATTGCTGAGCAAAGATCAGCAAATTGAAGAACTTAAGCTCAAGGCTCATGAAGAAGGTAGTAAGCTGAAGATAGCTTTAGAGGAAGTTGAAGAACTGACCAAGAAGCTCAAAGCTGCTGAAGAAATGAATCAGGAGCTGAAAAGACAGATCGAGAGTCTGCAGATTAACAGCGGAAATGAAACTAAAGTTATTATCGAGGAGAAAAACAAGCTGGAAGAATCTTTAGCTAGTCTTAAAGCTACTTCTACTGCCTACTCTGCTCAACTAGAGAAGCTCAATGAAGACTTGAAAATGAAGCACGCGGAGTTGGTGGAGCTCCAGAAGTCGAAAGACGCGGAGATAAAGCAACTTATGGATAATTTTGAGAGCAAGTTAGAGGAAAAGACTCGATTTATCACGGAAGTAAACGCGGATTTGGCGATCAAGTCATCGAAGATTGCTAATTTGGAGCATGAGATTGCGGAACTGAAACGTTTGCTCGCGAGCAAGGATGAAGAGATCAATAGTCTGCTGGAAAAAGCCTCAGAGTTGAAGGACGCGATTACTTTGTCTGAGCAGACAAAGACTAACTTGGAGAGCGAGCTCAGGATGTACGAAGTGAACATTGCGGAGCTTAACCAGAAGCTCGCACATTCCGAGGAGAAAATTTCGCAGTTGGTTGAGCAGAAGAGCAAACTCGAAGCCGAGATATCTAGTGTGATAAGTTCATCCGCGGATTCTTCTGAGCAGTTGATTAAGTACAACGAGGACTTGAGGTTGAAGGAAAAGGAGCTGGACCAACTGCGCGAGCGGGTGTTTGAGTTGGAGAACTTGTCTACCTCTTCGGAAGCTAAGTTTAATCGCGCTGAAGAAGAGCTCAAAGCGGCGAACCAGGTAGTAGAGCAGCTAAAAGCTGAAATTGGAGAGATCAGAGACCAGCTTGACGGGCAGGTTAAGGCCAGGGAAGAGTTGAGCAAGGAACTGGGTGTTTTTAAGGCAAAAGAAGCGGAATTGAGCGGAATTAAAGAAGCTCTGGTGGAGGAAGTTAAAATTAAGCAGCTTGCTATCGTGAATTTGAGCGTACAATTGAAAGCTGCTGAGGAAAACTTGTCGGGTTTGAAAGATAAATTTTCGGCTTTGTCTTGCTCGAATGAAGAAAAGTCAAAGGAGTTTAAGAACTACTCTGAAGAGCTGGAACAGAAGGTTAAGAAGTTGGAGGAGGAGAGCAGAAGCTTGAAAGAGAGTGGGGAGAAATTATTGGGAGAAAAGGAGGTGGTTGAAAAGACATTGGGAGATTTAAAACAAAAGCTGGAGGAAGAAATAGCTTCCAAAGGTCGCTTGGAGAGTCTGAGTGGAGAAAGAGAAAGTCAGATCAAGAGTTTGGAGGTTAGGATTGAAGAGTTGAACAAAGAGAAAGAAGAAATGAGCTCGGTGGTTCAAGAGCTTGATGTTAAGTACAATGAGAGCCTTGCGCAGTTGAAGCTGGCGAATTCTAAAGATGCTGATACTTCGCAGGAGGTTACTTTGATGAGGGAGAAAGTAGAGCAGTTGGAGTCGAGTAATGGAGAACTGAAGAAATCTTTGGAGGTTATGGATCAATCGGCTACGGGACTTAAGAAAGAATTGAGTGAAGCTAAGGCTAGATCTCAAGAATTGGAAGGGAAAATTAAGGAACTGGAGTCTAGTGCTGCCGAGTGTGATAAATTGAGAACTGAATTGGTGGGAGAGAGGGAGCTAGTTGTTAAGGCGGGAGAAGAAAAGATTCGGTACTTGAAGGATTTAGAGGAGACTATGAGAGACAAAAGAGCTTTGGAAGAAAAGATTAGCGCGGTTGAAAATGAACGCGAGGGTTTGAAAAGAGAATTTGAGGTTAAGGTGCGAGAGCTTGAGAGTTTGCAGGTGGAGAAGCAAGCTTTGGGTGAAAAACTGAAGGTGGAGCTCGAAGCATCGGGTAAAGAGGTTAGTTTGGCGAAGAAGAGGAACCAAGAGCTGGAGAGCCTTGTTGATACTATGAAAAGTGAGGTTAGTAGTAGAGACTCGGTTGTTGCTGAGCTTCAGAAGCTGATTGAGGAGATGAAAAAAGACAAAGATCAGCTGGTCAGCGGAGAGAAGACTATAGTAAGTGAGTTGGAGAAGAAACAAAGCGAAGTTGTGGCTATAAAGGCGGAAAATGAGAGTTTGTTGGGTGAGAAAGTGGCTTTGGAAAAGGAGCTGAAAGATAGGGAGGGGCAGATACAGGCACTAACGAACCTGGTGGCGAGTAATGAAAGTGATGTTGTTAAACGCACTCAAAGTATCGCGGAGGAGCTCAGTAAGGTTAGAAAAGACTCGGATGCCCTGAAAGAGAATCAAAATGCCCTGGAGAAGGAAAATAAGACGCTTTCCGCGAAATTGAGCCATACTTTGGAGGAACTTAAGACTGCGATGGAGAACAAGAAGAATTCTTTGGAGGTTAAATCGGTGGATGTTAAGAATAATGGAAACAAAAATGGAGAACTGATACAGCTGATCGAAGAAAATGAGACTTATAAGGGGCAAATTGATTTCTTGAACTCTGTTATTGTAGATATGCAGCAGAAAAATGAGAAGTTATTGAGCAAAGTTCAGGTTCTTGAGATGGGAGTCCCCGCTAATGAAGCTGATGATTACAGCAAGTACTCGCTGGATAAAAAAGCAGGTACTCCGAGAATGTTCTGTGATATTTGTGATCAGTTTGATCTTCATGAAACTGAGGATTGTCCCAAACAGGCGCAAGACTTTGAGGTTGAAAAACCTGTTAAGAAATCGAAGAAATCTTCTGTTGAAAGGCCTTACTGCGAGAATTGCGAGAGTAAGTCTTGAATTTTTTATTTTTTACACAGAAAAAAAAAGTTCACTTGAGCCAAGAAAATATTTTTCTTCCTAATTATTTTTTTTAAACGAAAAAAAAAATTTTTTTTTGACAAGAAATTTCACTTATTCCAACAAAATTAAATTCTCTTGCTTTAAGAAATACGTATCTTGATCCAAGAAAATTTTTTTGTTTTGAGAAAATTCAGCCTCTTACTCCAAAAAATTTAGTTTTTGATAGAAGTAAATTTTCTTGTCTTGAGAAAATTTCTCTCTTGCTCCAAAAAATTAAATATCTTGATAGAAGTAAATTTTTATTAATATTTTTATTGACTAAGCATGTCAAATGGGAAGATCAAATAATATTGAATCATTTTTTTTTTTTCATTCAATATGTATAATTGCACGCCAAAATAATATAAAATGGGTATCAAATATTCAAGAGAAAAATTTTCTCAAGGTGAGAAAATTTTTTTCTTAGCGGAAGTAGGTGGCGCTGCTTCCCTAAAGTATCTAAAAATCTTGATCAAATATAAAAATTTATTGTACCAAGTATTTATGATAATTTGAATTAAGAAAAAATTACTTCCACCCGAAAATTTTCTTGAGTCAAAAAATTTTTCTTTCTGTGTACTTAATGTTTGGATGATTAATTATAATACTGGATATTTTTGTTTTTAGTTTTTGGACACGATACTTCGCAGTGCGATGACGCGGAAACGTTTTAACAAAATACTCAAGAATTTGTTATTAAATATTCATCACTAGTTTGCTTGCCGGTTAGATGAAGATTTGTTGAATTTTTTAGAGTATATTTTTGTACGGGGAATTTAAATTTTAAAAGAACTTCCTATACAAGTGTCTTCCTCAGTGATAAGTACTGATATAGTTTCAACAAATTTATTACGATTACGATTAGTTAATTTTATTACTATTAATAGTAGCAATTGTTAGCTTAATATTAATGAATTAAATTATTGATTTCGTTCTCCACTTTTAAGACTGTCCGTTAAAGAAAAGCGTAGATCGCTTTAATAGTAGAGACTCGGAATATTTTTACGTACATATATTAAATGACGAATTTATTGCGAATTAAATATTGTCAAAATGAGAGTTATGTATTTATGTAAATAATAATATCGACTGCTTGCCTAATTATATTTAATATTTATTGGAGTTGTCGTGTAAATATTTTGATTCATCAATCATCGTTTTGAAGATATTCAAAAGACATTTTTTAAATTAAATTCTTATTTTCAACTGCAAATATTTATTGTTCATTTAAATATTTTTAATTGCACTTACGTACCGATTAACTGCTCAAAGTGACTTTAAAATTGCACAAACGTTTGTAATTATTTTACAAATTGTCATTTGGTTGTAAAAGTTTAATAAATAAATTTTTATCTCTGAACTGGCTTACATTTATCCTACATTTTTCGTATAATTATAATTGATATAAAATTTGTTATTAAAAAAAAAATTATCTTTTAATCTTTTTCAATATCTTCACTCATTGTAAATTTCTTCATATGTCAAAGTATGTTACAATAAGAATAAAAATGTATAAGAAAACTTATAAATTATTGTTGGAATGAACACAATTTTATTAATAAATATAGCAAACATTCAACAAATTTTTCCATTTAATATTTACTAAATTACAACAGCGGAAAAGTTTAAGTATCAGGTACAGTTTCTACTCTTAATTGTCTTCAAACAAATATCACTTTGACGAAACTATACTTCATACACTAAGAGAAAAAATTTCTTTTGAAAAAAATGAGCATTGTTGTGACAAGAAATTAAATATTTTCGATAATTTTGTTTCTTAGTAGAAGACATAAGAAAAGATTGAAATCAGATATAGAAAAAATAATAAGAAGGGAGCAAAAGATAGTCACATGCAAAAAGAGAGCATGATCATCTACGTCCTTGTAAAACACAATAAGTACAAACATAAAACATACAAGTGAAGCTAATATAACTTGCGAATTTTAACCCAAATTTTTTTTTTCAACAAAAAAATTCCAATGAAAAAAATTTTCTTCACCTAAATAAAATTGTTTAAAATTTTCATAAAATTAATTTTTTATTTTTTTCAAAAGAAATTTTTTTTCTCAGTGTAAAGAGTTTAATTTTTAACAACTCTCGATGCATTGTACATAAAAAAAAAACATCAACAATGCTACTTATGATTAAGTAATAAAATAAATCAATTAGTATGATATTTTCAACAGTTATTAAATTGTTTCATACTAATTAATAACACACCAATAGATGATAATAATCAACTGATTTATTTTTCTGTTGGCTTCTTCTTTCTGACATTCTTAACATTTTTGGTCTTGGTCTTGGTTTTTGTCTTTGTTTCTACCCTTGTTGTTTCCAATTCCTTCTTAATTTCTTTACCGTGACGCTTTATAATATGTTTTCTCAAGGTACCTTTTTCTCGGAAATCCCTATCACAAATGTCACAATTGAAAGGTTTCTCACCCGTATGAGCAAACATGTGTAGGGTCAAATGGTGCTTTTGTCGAAATTTTTTTAAACAAATCTGACAACTAAATGGCATTTCACCGGTATGAATTTTTTTATGCCTGTATAAGGATGCTCTTTCACGAAATGTATGAGAACAAATAGGACAAGTCCAGAAATTTTTTCCAGTATGCATTAACATATGACCGTTCAAACCATCTTTCCTTCGGAACTTCTTTGAGCAAATATTACAAGAAAATGGTTTTTCGCCAGTATGACAAAGCCTATGTCTGTTCAACAGAGTAGAACTGGTGAATCTGTTGGAACAAAATTCACAAAGATAGCGCTTTTCACCGGTATGAGCCACCATCATGTGTCTGACCAGACTTTTTTTCACGCTGTATGTTGCTGGACAATCTTGACAAGCATAACGTACTTCTCCGATGTGTATTCGCTTGTGCTCAAAATACTTATTTTTTTTGTCAAATTCCGTTGAACAAACTTCACAAGTGTAAGGTCCACTTACTTGCCCGTGAGATGATTTCATGTGTACGCTCAAGGAATATCTGTGACGGAATGAAGATGGACAAACTTGACAACTAAATTTTTTCTCATCGCTGTGAATCAGCATGTGTTTGATTAAAGTTGCCTTTCGGTGAAATCTCATGGAACAAACTTCACAACTGTGTTGCCGTTCCTCCTCGTGAATTGTCATATGACTTCTCAAGTGACATTTTTGAAAGAATCTCAGGGAACATATTTTACAGCCGTAAGGCTTTTCCGGGTGTATTTTTTTATGTGCTGTTAAGTGAGCTTTCACAAGGAATCTCATTGAACAAATCTTGCAAGTGTATGGTAACGTTATATCTGAACTTGAAATCTCAGTCGAGAAATTTGCATTTGCTATTTGCTTTTTAATAAATTCTAAAATGAAGAAAAAAATTTATATTAATAGCAAGATAATAGTTTTAGAAAGTTTTTTTTTTTTTTTTTAATTTACTAAGTAATAATTAAATGAATATTGAAGTAAATTGACATTAGAAATTTCTTTATAATTTTATAACAATAAAATTATTGTGAAAAAAGTTAAATAAAAAAATTCCACATTCGAAAATTAAAAAAAATTATTAGTGGAAATTTTTTAAAGCATTTTTTTATTGTAATTGATTTGTTATAAAAATTTAAAAAATTGAAAGTTGTTAGCTAACTTCAGTATCATTAATTAAATTGTTTAAAAAGTTCTTAAAAATTTTAAGATTTCTGTTAACTTTTGTACGATGAAAATTTGACATTTTTTTAACATCCTAAAACATTTTCTATACAAAAAAAATGATCTAAGATAATGAGACAAAAAACTATAATATTTATTATAATATAACAGATTATTTTTGTTTTAATGTGTAAAAAATTGAAAAATTTACCATGAAAAAAAACAGCAAGTCAAAAATAAGGTGTCCGGTCATAAAATCCTTGTAAATAATATTCCAGTAAATATATCACATCGAAAAAATATCCCATGGCAAAATATCCCAAAACAAAAATCTCTTATGGCAGAATTATCCCTTGACAAAAACACAACATAAGAGCGCAACACGCACGGAAAAAAGAAAAATCGAAAAACTACAATATAAATAGTAATAAGTTTCTAAATTCAAACTTTGAATGTTAATTTTCAGAGCTTTCCATGTAATATTTACATTTTACAATGTAATTCTTACAAAATCTGTAATAATTATAATCTGAAACTGTAGTTTTTCGAGTTTTTTATACGGAGCGCCACGTTATAATGAAAATTAAGTTAGCCGATATTTAAAAATTAGAAGAATTTTTTTTATTGAAAAAATGACTACAAAAAAAAAAAAAAGTGCAATTTTTTAAAAATATTTTTTTGTTCTAATTTAATTATTAAAAAAAAATCAAAAAATTGGAAACGTCGGCTAACTTTAGTATCATCATGTTAAATTATATAATGTTATTTTTCTTTTTTCCGTTCGGTAACTAGCTTATGTGTTGGTCTAATATCGAATAAACATACACAAAAACCATGATAAAATATTAATTAATTTCAATAATACGAAGGTGATATCGAGCTGTTTGGAAATTTGTGTAGTGGGATATTTATCAAGGGAAATTTATGTGAAAGGGATATATTTGTCTTGGGATATTTTTATGCGGAATATATTTGCTGGGAAGTTTTGACCGAGAACTCAAAAATAATATTTCGTTTCTAGATCGTAGACTTCCATGATAGTTTTTTGTCCAATTACCTTTAATTATTTTTTTTCTTATATTAATAAAAATAATGAGAAGTTATACCAGGTATACAAGCAACGTTTTCTAGATTTTCTGGATTATCATTATCATTACTATCATCATCATCATCATCAGGTTCTTCTAATTTTATTTTCTCACTATCTATTCTAGAATCTAAATTACAATCTCGATGTGCGCTCCCATTTTTTTCACTCTTCTCACATAGCAAAATCTGAAAAATTAAAATCTAATGAGAAACAAGTAAACACGAATGTGAATTAGTCAACAATAAACAATTGTTAATTTTATTTATAAATAATGTTTCTATGCTAAAAAAAAAAAAAAAAAAAAAAAAAAAAAACCTAACCCTCTTACCTTATTGTCATGCTTAATTCTTTTACTCTCTTTGTTAGCTGGTAGATTGTCATTCATTTTTCAAATAATTATCTACCAACTATTCAAATTTAGCGAGTGATATTTCTTTATAATTTATTTTGTAATAAATAAACTTTCAAGTTGTGTAAAAAAATTTTTCTTGTCATTGAGAATTCTCCGGGTGTTTATTTCACGTAATAAATATAAACAGTCAAATCGTTGGAAGATCTTTGTTTTTAAGATTACTTAACCTAGTATTTTCATGTTCGCACTTAAGAATAGACTTACTGCGCCACCACAATAATTTTTTATATATTAATAAATTAATTGTATCTTACATTGGCAACATAGATTTTATTTGTCACAAAAAAAAAAAAAAAAAATTGTGCGAAAAAAATATTGTAAAAGTAAAAAAAGCGATTAATTTTCAATTGAAAACCCTGCAGTAATTGAAAAAAACAAATTATGATAAAATTTCTTGAATAAAAATAATTATTAAAATTGAAAAAAATAATTAAGTACGGTTAAGACTTTTATAATAAAAATTTTTTTCATATTTAGTGTTGATATTTCAATATTAAATAATAATTTTTTTTTTTAGAATACAAAAATTAGTAAAGATAAAAAAATTAATACAACCATTAGAGTTTTTCTTCAGATTTTTCGATAAAATACAGATTTTTAAAAAAAATACAGTGAAGCAGCGTTAAAATCGCATGAAAAGAAGTCGCTTAAAAAAACTGTCATGGATTATATGTATCGGAAAATTCAATAACACTAAAATTAACAGACACTTGAATAAAAATTAAGTTAGTTGACATTTAAAAATTAAAAAAACTTTTTTTTATTGAAAAAATGATTAAAAAAAAATTTTAGAAAAATTTTCATTTGTAAAAAACTTTAAAAACTGTAAGTGCAATTTTTAAAAAATATTTTTGTTCTAATTTAATTATTAAGAAAAATTAAAAAATTAAAAACGTCGGCTAACTTTAGTATTTTGACACTTGACCATTTTTGGATTTTATTTGACAAAAAAACTAAGTCCAGAAAATTATTTAAAAAAAAATAATTGCATTTACATTTTTTTACAACTTCTAAATATGGAATTTTTTTCAAAATCTTTCTTGCTATAATTATTTGTGAATAAAATTCCTAAAAATGATCAAATCAACATTCTAATTAGCAAATTGTCTAACTCCATTTTAGAGAATTTTCCATTTGTACGAAAAAACAATTAGTTCAAAATTTATTATCACTTTAAAAAACAATTTAATATCTAATAGAGGTATGGTATTTTGGTTTGGATCATTCAAATAATTTATAATTGAACTATTGCTAACTAGACCGTCGCAATGTTTCTCAACTTTAGTGTCACCAAAATTCCATCGAATGAATTAACAAATAAATAATTTATTAACATTTGGATTAGAAAATTCGCTAACTGGTATACATTAATATTATTAATAATTTTTTATCTAATAGTTATTATTTCTTCACTTTATTAATAAAAAAAAAAACTTGGTAAATTTTTAGATCTGCTCTCCATTTGGTATTGGAGGGGATAGAAGTTTAACTTTTAGATTCAACTGACACATCCATGTATTTTCTTGACGCATTTACTGTAAATAATCTGTAATTATAAATTGTTGATTTATTTCTCTATTGTATTTATGCAATAAGTTAATAATGGCAGAATCAAGATTCAGTGGAGCTTTGCAAATTACAAATTTAGACGATTTTATAACTCCGTCACAAGTAAGTAGGAGGTTAGAATGATTGTAATCTTTTTCTTAATATAATGTAATAATAATTTAATTTTTAGGAGTGCATCAAACCTGTAGAATATAAAAAAAAGTATGACACAGGCGCTAAAATAAAAATTCAGTCCAAAGAATTTATGGAAATAAATAAAGTAAGTATTTCATTGATTAAAAATTAATGACACTAAAATTACAAGACATTTGCTAATTTTTTAAATTTTTTAAATAAAAAAATTCTGAGTAGAGATTGTAAAAAAATTATCACTACAATTTTTTGTAATTAATTATTTAGAACTAATTTAATTTTTTTTACTTGCTCAGAGAGAACCAGAGCAGTTAGAAAAAGTTGAAATAACTCTAGCAGATTGCCTAGCTTGCAGCGGATGTATAACTTCCGCCGAAAGTGTTCTAGTATCGCAACAAAACCAAGAACAGCTTTTGCGTATTTTTGAAGAGAAGAAAACTCAACAGGTTGCTTCAGATGAAAGTGGAAATATAAAACTTATCGTAGTGAGTTTTTCGGTCCAACCGATCCTGTCTCTTGCTGAAAGATATGACCTGGACCCTGAGGACACTGCTCTGAGACTGGCCGGGTACTTTAGAGAGCTTGGAGCAGACGTTGTTCTCGATATGACTGCGGCCGATGATCTAGCTTTGTTGGAAAGCGCTAAGGAATTTATAAAGCGGTACAATTACCAGCAAGAAGGCCTGAAGAAACAAATACCGATGCTTGCATCCTCGTGTCCAGGGTGGATTTGTTACGCAGAGAAGACTCATGGAAGTTTTATTTTGCCTTACATCAGTAATACCAAGTCTCCACAGCAAATAATGGGGTCGCTGGTTAAGTATCATTTGTCAAAACTTAAACAGGTGCTTCCAGAGAATATTTATCATGTGACATTGATGCCGTGCTATGATAAAAAATTGGAAGCTTTCAGGGATGATTTTGTTGATAAATCTAATAACACTAAAGATTTAGATTGCGTAATTACTTCCAGTAAGTAAATAATACATAGAAAAAAAAAAAATTAACTTCAATCAAGATAAAAAATTCTTGAATCAAGTAAAATTTACTTAAACCAAAAAAAATTTATTAGCTTAAGAATTTTTGGTAAATATTTACAAGTGGGGTAAAACATTTTAATTTTCATTTTTTTGAACGAAATTTCTATTTGATTCTATTGATACATTTGTTTTTGAAAAATACATAAAAAAAAAGAAAAATTAAAAAAAAATTGATAATCACAATTTTAACTAATTTTCAAAAAAATTTATAAACTTTTTAGAAAGTTGTGATATTCAATTTTTTTTTTTAATTATTCATTTTTTTATGCATACTGAGAAAAAAAAATGTTTGTCCAGAAAAAAAATTTCTTGGCTCAAGAATCGTTTAATAATAAATTTTAGTTTTTTGACAAAAGAATATCAATATTTATCATGATAATAAAATATTGGCATTAATTTTGATAGATTAACAAACTAATAGGTTCACTTGAATTAAATAAAAAATAATTCGATCAATTCTTGGTTGTGATATTCAATTTTTTTTTTTAATTATTCATTTTTTTATGCATACTGAGAAAAAAAAAATGTTTGTCCAGAAAAAAAATTTCTTGGCTCAAGAATCGTTTAATAATAAATTTTAGTTTTTTGACAAAAGAATATCAATATTTATCATGATAATAAAATATTGGCATTAATTTTGATAGATTAACAAACTAATAGGTTCACTTGAATTAAATAAAAAATAATTCGATCAATTCTTGAGACAAGAAAATATATTCTTGAAAATTATCAAGAATATATATTCTTGTGACAAGAAAATTTTCTCAAGAAAATTACATTTAAATTACAAATCAAATGTAAAAAAAATTTACATTTCAGAAAAAAAAATATATTAAAAAAATATAAATTTTATCCAAAACATGAGAGCCAAAATTTTTTCTAATTTTTGAAGACAAAAAAGCCGTAAAAACAAGCAGAATAAAAAAAAATTAAAAAATGTTAATTTTTCTCCAAGTTATGGCCAATAATAGGGTAGAGCTCACTTGTAAATAATTATCGAATTTTTCTACTAAAATCAAGAAAATTAAGTTCTTCAAAATTATTTACTTAATTAAAGTTAGTTTTTTTTTCTGTGTAAAAAATATTAAAAAAAAAAATGATTTTTATAATTTATATCAATTCTAATCAAAAATTTTTGTTTAATTTTCAGTTGAATTAGAACAAATGTTGGAGCAACAAAATAAAAAATTAAGCGATTTTGAACCAAGTGTCATGGACTCACCTTTTGGTACCTTAGAATTTTCTAATAAGCCCAAATACATTTGGGGTCATTCCGGTTCTGGATCTGGCGGATACGCTGATTTTATTTTTAAGTACGCTGCTAAAAATTTGTTCCAAATGACAGATGTAAAGCTAGAGTTTAAAGATTTAAGAAATCCAGATTTCAAGGAAGCTGTTTTAGAGCAAGACGGTAAAGTACTTTTGCGATTCGCTATCGCTAATGGGTTCCGAAATATTCAGAATCTTGTACAAAAGTTGAAGAGAGACAAGTGTGTGTATCATTACGTTGAAATAATGGCTTGTCCTGCAGGTTAATTAATTTTTATTTATTAATTTATAAATAATGTATCGTATTATAAGTAAGTCAATAATTAAATTTTGATCCTAGGCTGCTTGAACGGTGGAGCGCAAATCAGGCCTCGAAATGGCCTACAGTCTCGACAATTGGTCTCAGTTTTGGAGTCTTACTACCGAAAACTTGGTGAAATGAACCCAGAGAATAATCCGGTAGTCAAAAAATTGTACAATTCGTGGCTGGATGGCGAAGATTCGGATAAAAATCTTGCATTTGTTCATACTCAGTATCACGAAATTGAAAAAACGAATATTGCTTTAACGATTAAGTGGTAAAATAATTATATTTATTTTTATAGTTATAAAATAAAAAACAGGTTTATAATAATGCAATATTTATTATCAAGTGATGAAAAATAAAATATATTTACGTAACAACAAAAAATAACAATAATGACCAACAAATATCAATAATTAAAGCTTTAAGTTTAAATTAATAAGCAATAATTTTTTTTTTTTTACTTAGAAATATAATAATAATATAAATACTATAACTATAAGAATGTTTATTTACACATAAATAATAAATATTTATTGTATAGTAATTTAAAACATGTATGACAAAACCGTGAGCACTTCAATTACTCTAATCACCAGAATTTTTAGTTTCACTTATTTGATTATCATTATTCAAGTCAAGAGTAATGTCAGACACATTTATAAACCGATGGTTATTTTCGTCGTTGTCGTGAGAGTACTTATTATTATCATCATCGTTATTTTCAATAAATTTTTTAGAGTTAATAATATCATTACCGTTATCCAATTTTATCAGCCAATCTTGATTGTTTGCTATTTCTCGCGAAACAACAAGAAGTAATTCCTTTTCTTTACTCAGTATTTGGTCCTTAAGATATGCTATCAATTCATCGTTGTTGCCAATCAACACCGGAGAGTCCAGCTTAGAGTCAAGGTTGTAAAAGGCACCTTTTATCTTACGTAAAGCTATCCAATGACGTTTTTTTAAGGGTAAGAGTACAAATCCTAGTTTATATTCCGTTGGAACGTTAAGAATGAATCCGTCTATTTTGTCCAAATTTAGACTATTCAAATCTCTGTAATCAAATGTATCATCGTCATCATTCTTATAATAATTACGAATTATACTAAAATTGAGAGAGAGGTATCTGATAATTTTTAGAAACTTATTAACGAATAAATTACAAAGTAAAAGACTCAGTTAATGACACTGGCCTAGTTGTTTGACACTTGCAATTTTATTCTAATTAAAAAAATAAAATGTTCTCAAAAATCTAGTTATCTTAAAATTTCATAATTATTTTTCACAACACTAAAATTTGTACTACATATTTAATTTTTATTGAAAAATAAATCAAGTTTATAAATAATTTAATTTTTTTTTTTTTTTTTTTTTTTTTTTTATAAGTTTTAAAATTTTTAAAATTATAAATTTTAAATTTAAATTTTTAAAAATTATAAAAATTAAAGTAGCAAATATTTGATAAGTTTCAGAATTTTTATAAGAAATAAATTAGTACAAAAAAAATTGACATGAAGAAATTTTAAAAAATTAAAAATGCAATTTTTCAAAAATAATTTTTTAGAACAAATTTGTTTGTTAAATAAGTGACTGCTAACTTTAATGTCATTATAAAAATTAATTCAGCAGATATTTAATAATTTTAATAATTTTTATCTCAATAAATTATGGCAAAAAAATTGACATGTAAAAATTAAAAAAAATTAAAAATGCAATTTTTTTAAAATAATTTTTTAGAAAAAATTTGTCTGTTAAATAAAATTAAAAAATGGTCGAGTGACTGCTAACTTTAATATCATTTAAAAATTGCATTTATAATTTTTTAGAGCTTCCAAAAATGGAATTTTTTAACTAAATTTTTTTTTTGCACTCATTTATTTATGGAAAAAATTCTAAAAATCGTCAGATTTCCTTCAATTTATGATACTGAATTTAAAAGATTGACAATTTTTAGGATTTTTCGATGAAAATTAACGTAAGATATTTAATAATTTTTAGAATTTTTTTAAGAAATAAATTAGTGCAACAAAAAAAATTAGATAAAAAAATTAACATGTAGAAATTTAAAAAAATTAAAAATGCAATTTTTTTAAAATAATTTTTTAGAAAAAATTTGTCTGTTAAATAAAATTAAAAAATGGTCGAGTGACTGCTAACTTTAATATCATTTAAAAATTGCATTTATAATTTTTTAGAGCTTCCAAAAATGGAATTTTTTAACTAAATTTTTTTTTTGCACTCATTTATTTATGGAAAAAATTCTAAAAATCGTCAGATTTCCTTCAATTTATGATACTGAATTTAAAAGATTGACAATTTTTAGGATTTTTCGATGAAAATTAACGTAAGATATTTAATAATTTTTAGAATTTTTTTAAGAAATAAATTAGTGCAACAAAAAAAATTAGATAAAAAAATTAACATGTAGAAATTTAAAAAAATTAAAAATGCAATTTTTTAGAATGATTTTTTAGTCATGATTTTTCGAATTAAAAATAATTATTACAAAAAAAAAAAAATACAAGAAAAATTCCACATGTAGAAGATTAAAAAATCTTTAAGTGAAATTTTTAGAAAATATTTTGTAAATCCCAATTTAATTACTGAAAAAAATCAAAAGTTGGTTGATTTCAGTACGATTTATTTTATGAAAATTAATTTAACAGATATTTTAGAATTTTTTTTACCACAAATAAATTATGTCAAAGAAAATAAGAAAAAAAATTGACATTTAGAAAATAAAAAAAATAAAAAATGCAATTTTTTAGAAATAATTTTTTGGAGCAAATTTACTTAAAAAAGTAATACTGAAGTTAGCTGTCAGCTGTCAATTTTAAAAATTTTTATCACAAATCAATTACAGTAAGAAAATGCTTCTAAAAATTTTCGCTTGTAACTTTTGTTAATTTTCACATGTGAAATTTTTTAATTAAAATTTTTTTATAATAATTTAATTGCCATCAAATTTTAAGAATATTATTTATGTCTGTCAACTTCAGTGTCATATAAAAAAAAATTAAAAAGTGGTCAAGCGACTGCTAACTTTAATGTCATATTTATTTTCCAATAGAATTAATCAACACTAACCTTCGCTTATCAAACCAAATAGCTTCGCAGCCCTTCTTCTGCAAGGCAGCCATAATGACATTAATGTCATAGTTCCCGAGCCCGAGCAGCGACTTGTGGGGGTTGATCCACACATCTGGACTCAGTCCATAGCATATTTGGTCCAGCTCCTGCTTGCTGAACCCTCTCTCCTGGAACAAATTGTTAAGCGCGTGCAAAGCGCACAACTCCTTCACCTGAAAAACCAATCAGTAAATTAACACAGTCCAAAAAAACACTATCAGAAAAATAAATACCTGTCTTTCATGATAGATAGATCCTGTCATCTCCACTTTTGATATTCTTACCGTCAAACAAATCTACATTCTCTAACCTTTTAATCACCCATCAGATTAAATCCTATCCTCCATTACTTGTCATCACACCTGTTATAAACAATTGAAAAATAATTATTTTTTTTATACTTTTCTACGCTAAAAACGAGAATTGGGTTAGGTGTTGAATTATTAAATATTATTAACTTACTTGTCAAAACCATTTGACTGGCTTACCGGTTGTAATTAATGACACTGAAGTTAGCAGAGGTCTAAAAATTTTTTATTTTTTTTTTTAAATTAAATTACAACTAAAAAAATATTTATAAAAAATTGCACTTGTAGTTTCTTTCAAGTTTTTTACATGTGAAATATTTTTTTTTAATTGTTTAATTGAAATTTCTTCAATAAAAAATTTCTAAAAATTTTGAAATGACAGCTAACTTCATTTTCATTGTAATTACGGTGTTTCAGCCATTTGTAAAATTCTCTCCTGCCGGTTGAATTTCCGTTGCTCCAGTCTTCTTTACCAACACATATATATATAGAGACATATAAAGATAAGTTTGACAGTAGTAAGTTCTTAGAAGAAAAGAATAAAAGCATACACCAATAATATTTTTGTTTTTGTATTAACAGAATCACAACCACATATAAAATATATTTATGCATACAACACATACTTACAGTAAGTATTCAACATATGATGAAATAGGTAACTAGGAATTAAATCAGAATAAATATTTAAATAAATTGTTTTGTTCTATTATTTTAATACATATTAATTCAATAATCGTTAACCGCAATATAATTATTACTTTTACATTTTAGATTTCAAGTTCACATAAATCTTGTATGTGTTATATATATATACCTTTCACTTAACACTTTTCACCTTTCTTTTATTTTATTTGTAGACTAATATTATATTAGTAACATTGTTGGGTTTGTAAGTATAATAATAAGCAAAAGCAATTGAACAAACAAAATTATTTAAATCTTTATTGTAGTCAAAATATTTATGTTATTTTTATCTTTGAATGTGTACATATATAACCTGTTGTTGCAGATCCAAGCTTCGCGGATTCTTCAGGCTACATATGTCGATTAATTGATTATTGATCCACATCGACGGAAAAAGGATTACGCTGGTGTTTTATGTCAGTAATGCACATGTTCACTCGTGGGACAATATGCTACCGGAATAAATTTCGATATAAATTAACAAAGATTTATCGAATACACTGTTAAAAAAAATTTTATTAAAAATTTTTATTTTACTGACATAAATATTTATAAAAAAGTAGTTTTTGAGAAGAAATCAGACAATATGTCAGCTTTACCTTCACCTTCGGGGGTGGAAATTATTGAAAATAAACAGGAGCCTAGTGTTGATTATTCAAGTATCAGAGGAAAGGTATATTTCATTTAAGTTTATTCTTTATTTTTTAAAAAATAAAATTAGATTTAAAACACTAAAATTTCATGTCTTATTATCAGTTTTATTTTATAATTTAATATTCATATTCGTGTTAGCAATTAAAATTATGGTAATTATTTCCAAGTGTTGCTTGCTCTACTTGTGAATGAATGTGGAAAAATAAGATAATTATTTTTTTTTGTTGAGATTTAATAAATAAAAATATTGTTATTAATAACTAAAAAATTATGAATGATAAAAAAAAAATGATAATAAAGTTAGTCGACATCTGAAAATTTTAAGAATTTTTTTTTATTGAAAAAATTATTATAAAAAAATTTTTAAAAAATGTCATTTGTAAAAAACTTGAAAAACTGTAAGTGCAATTTTTAAAAAATATTTTTTTGTTCTAATTTTATTATTGAAAAAAATTCAAAAAACTTAAAATGTCGACTTACTTCATTATTATAAAAAAAAAAAAAGGAATTAAAAAAATTTTGTGAAGAAATAAATCCAAGTTTAATAATTAATTAGAACTTTATAATTGCACATTTAATTGAATAATAAATACTTATCACATCACTGATACTTATTTATATTATTTTAGGACGTACTTGTGAGCCCATCTGAGCATCAGTACGAATTACTTTTAAAACGCTTGAAAGAACGAGTAGACGATGGTGGAAGCGAGACAATATTTAACATTGGTATTGGCGAAGGTATAAATTATATTATGCTCAAAAATAAATAACTTGATGCATTAGTTATGTAATGAAAATGAATATGTATTAATAGATGGATCGGAAGACGGACTGAAGCCTGACGAGTATGAAGCATCAATTGCAACGCTGCAATCACTGGCAGCGACAATAGAGGCTGATTGTGTGCTTCTTCGTCAGAGCAAAGTTGATCAAGGCCTAACGGGACAGTATCTCGTACGAAAGCGTCTAAATATTCAGGATTTTTTGGAGATAAGAGTCGCGGTGGTGGGTAATGTCGATGCTGGTAAATCGACACTGCTGGGGGTTCTCACTCACGGGGAACTTGACAATGGGCGAGGACTTGCGAGACAGAAGTTGTTCCGTCATAAACACGAAGCTGAGTCTGGACGGACAAGTTCCGTTGGGAATGATATTCTGGGATTTGACAGCGTTGGTAAGATATTTGTTTTATTTTAGATATCAATATTTCAACTGGGTCGTCGACGTGTCACGGCAAGATTAAACGCTTATCTGATTAAAACATGCAATAACAATATAAATTATTTTATTGTGTAATTTATATTATTAAGAGAATAAGAAAAATTTTGTGTCCAGAATAGTCATTCTCTATCACTAGATACATAATTAAGAAATGACCGTGTATCTTGTGAACTATTGACATTTTTAAAAATATAAGGTCATCCCGATGTTATACTCATCAAGACCTTTCATTTAAGTACCCACATCAATTTTTCATATATTTTATATATTTATATATTTCACAAATACTATATATATATATAAAATATATAAAAAATGCCATGTGGGTACTTGAATAAAAGGCCTCGATGAGTGTAATATCGAAATGAGTTTACATCTTAAAAAATGTCAATAATTAAGAAGTATGATATATGACCTTGTATCTTGAGAACTATTGGCATTTTTAAAGATATAAGCTCACCCTGACATTACACTTATGAAGACCTTTCATTTGAGTACCCACATCAATTTTTCATATATTTATATATATATATATTATATATATGTATAGTATACATTGTATACATGAAAAATATATGAAAACGCATGTGGGTACTCAAATAAAAGCTCTTGATGAGTGTAACATCGAGATAAGCTTATATCTTCAAAAATGTCAATATTTAAGAAAGCACAGTGCAATTTAATAAAAGACATTATTTACTAAAGCAAAATTTTAGTTATTTATAATTCAAAGTTACGGCAGCCACATAGTGACTGCAAAGTTACTAGTTTTATTTTATCACAATAATAAATTATATTAAAAATGATAAACAATTTTTTCCAGGAAATGTTGTGAATAAACCCGAGCATGGATCTTTGGATTGGGTTAAAATTTGTGAGAAATCATCAAAAGTTATAACGTTCATAGATCTCGCTGGCCATGAACGTTATCTCAAAACCACTGTTTTTGGAATGACTGGACACGCTCCTGATTTTGGTAAACATATTTATACTAAAGTTTTTTTTTTTTTATATTGGATTTTATGTTGTCATTGGCTATTAAATAAATTTTAGGAATGCTTATGGTGGGAGCGAATGCAGGTATCGTCGGAATGACTAAAGAACATTTAGGTCTAGCTCTAGCCCTATCAGTACCTGTGTTTGTAGTTGTCACTAAGATAGACATGTGTCCTCAAAATATTCTTCAAGAAAATTTAAGACTACTAATCCGTATTCTAAAGTCACCTGGGTGTAGAAAAGTACCCGTTACTGTTAAGACTCCCGATGACGTTGTCGTCAGCGCTACTAATTTTGTTTCCGAAAGGTAGTATCAATGTTACTAAAATAAATTTTATTTAATATATTATTAAAATATCTAAATATCACTTGAATAATTTTTAGACTGTGCCCTATTTTTCAAGTATCAAACGTTAATGGTGAGAACTTGCATCTTCTGAAGATGTTTTTGAATTTATTGACTGCTAGAATCACTAGCCATGATAATGAACCTGCCGAGTATCAGATTGATGATACTTATTCAGTACCTGTAAGTTATTGATAATAATTATGATTATTTATATAATTAAGAGCAGAGAATAAGGAAAATTTTGTTTCCGGCTTATTTATATAACAAAATAAGTTTTTAAATTAAATTAAGTATCATTAGAAAGGTCTTGATCTGAATTGGTACCTTTCCAATGTTTCATATGCCTTTCTAAAATAGTTCATTGATTATGACAAATTTTTGAAGTAGTTCTAAATAGATTCTAATTTCACCCTAAACGTCAATTGTTTATTTATTTATTTTGTTTTGTACATGTGGATGTGGTTGTAGGTCAAAAATTAATTTATATAATTAAGAGATTATGAAAAATTTTGAAACGAGTAAGGTAAAAGACCCAGTTATTGACACTTGCAATTTTATTTTAATTAAAAAAAAAAAAAATAGAATCTAATAAATTAATAAATATAATTTTTTAATTATATATTTTAAGATAATTGGGTTTTTAAGAACATTTTATTTTTTTAATTAGAATAAAATTGCAAGTGTTATAAAATTAAAAAACTAGGCCAGTGTCAATACCTAGGCCTTTTATCTTATATATCTTTATCGTGAACAGGTTTTGATATTTTTCAGCGATAGTCATTTATGATTTGAATAATTGAGAGAGTAAAGAAAATTTTGTGACGAGCATATTATTATTTTGAAAAGAATTTAGTAATTATTTACAAGTGGGGTCCATCATTTTTATTTTCATTTTTTTGAACGAAATTTCTATTTGATTTTATTGATATTTTTTTTTTTTTTGAAAAATATAAAAAAAAATTAACAATTAAAAAAAAAAAATTGCTTATCACAATTTTAACAAATTTTCCAAAAAATTTATAAATTTTTTTAATTTATATATAGTGCAAATTTATGTAAATTTAAATATAAGTTTGTTTATGTACTTTTCAAAAAAAAAATATATCAAAAAAAGAAAATATAAATTTTATCCAAAAACATGAGAGCCAAAATTTTTTCCAACTTTGAAGGCAAAAAAGCTATCGAAAAATTTTTTTTTCTTTAACAACATTTTTTATCATAAATGCGCCGTAAAAACAAGCAGAATAAAAATAAAATTAATAATAAAAAATGTTAATTATTCACCTAGATATGGCCAAAAATAGGGTGGACCCCAATTGTAAATAATTACCAAGAATTTTTATAGTGAAATTTGTTATCATTAAAAAGGTCTTGATAAGAATTTGTGCCTTTTCACGGTTTTATATATTCTCCAGTAATAGTCAATTTTTTATGTTAAGTTTTTGGAGGAGTTTAGAATAGTTTGTTGGTTCTATAAATTTGATCCGTTACATTTGTCCATTAAAATATCGATACTGCCATTCTAATACGTCGTACCCCACATTTAAATAATTTTACAGCAGACTGTAAAAACTATTCATTTTTAGCATTGATTAAATGGGATTCGACAGATGAAAATATTTATTTAAAAATAGTTATTGAACTATTTGACCTTTAAAATTTTAATATGATATGCATTATTTTGTTATGATTCCATTTTTCAAAAAAAGTAAATTTGTCAAATTTTGTGAGATACGACGTATTAGAATGGCAGTATCGATATTTATAATTGATCCTATTATAAAACTATTATTTTTTTAATTTATTCAAAAATTACCCTAACTATGTATGGTGTGATTAGAAATACCAAAAAAATTATTAAGCCAAAGTTTCCTTATTCTTAATCCGTAAATTTCGGTCACATAGTGATTGCAGGTTGCTATTTTATAATTATAATAATTAATAAATATTTTTTAATCAAAAATAGGGTGTAGGTACAGTTGTCTCAGGTACGACACTTAAAGGTGTGATAAAACTAAACGACGTATTACTGCTAGGACCAGATCCACTGGGTCACTTTACGCAAATCACCATAAAGAGTATTCACCGTAAACGCATGCCGGTGAGTGAAGTACGAGGTGGTCAGACAGCAAGCTTCGCTCTCAAGAAAATAAAAAGATCACAAATACGAAAAGGAATGGTGATGGTATCTCCAGCTCTGAATCCTCAAGCTTGCTGGGAGTTTGAAGGTGAAATACTGGTGCTGCATCACCCGACTACAATAAGTTCGCGCTACCAAGCTATGGTTCACTGTGGAAGCATCAGACAGACCGCATCTATTCTATCTATGTCTCAGGATTGTTTACGAACGGGTGACAAGGCTTTGGTGCACTTCAGATTCATTAAACATCCAGAGTACATTAAACCTGGGCAGCGTATGGTCTTTAGAGAGGGACGTACTAAAGCTGTGGGAAATGTTTTGAGATTGATTCCTCATTCAAGTATTACTCATTCTAATAATACGAGGACTGGAAAGCAGCAGAATAAAAATAATCAACAGCCTCGTGCTACATCCACGTCATATGTAAGTATTTTTTTTTAATGCAAAACTAAGCTTTGCAAAATGAGAAAATTTATTAAGGTAAAGTACCCAGTACTTGAACACTTATAAAAATAAGACCAGTACTTGAACAGACTTCGGATTGTTGTAATAAAAAATCCGTATATTTATTATGAGTAATATGCACATGTTATAATTATTCAATGATACAGTAAATAATTTCTGTAAGTTTTTTCAATTATAAATCAAAACAATTATATTTTTGTTAACTTAAAAATTGACATGTCGAGAATAGCCGATAGATATTTTTTTCATGTAAAAGGTACTAAACCGTGAACAGAATAATCAGTAAAAAAAAACGGTATATCATTTTAAATAAAAAAAATTGTACCACCCAAATGAAATAGTCTTTTTTAAATAATACATATTTTTTGCAAAGACATATAATTTTTATATTAAATTTTAGCGTCTAATATATATTCAAATTTTCAAAGCGGTACCCAGAACTTGAACAAGCTGGGGCCGTATAATTTTAACAGCACTCTAATCTCTAATAGGTTTATAGACTAGTGATCAGTATTGTGATTTGTATTAATTACTGCAAATTAAATAAGTTTTATAGCTAAAATTAGTGTAGTTAAAAATTATTGAACGTTTTGAATTGAGTTTTTTTGATTTATAATTGAAAATTTGCTTTGTAATTCATAAAAAATGTAATTAAAAAATTAAATACAAATATTTCTCATTTTTAAATGAACATATTAAATATTCATAGTATGATTTTTAATATTATTCAATAATATGTTATAATTCTATTGATATTTCAATAAAACGTTGAAAATTTTTGCTGTGCCTATTGCCACATATATTTTATTAGTTCAACTACTGCGGCTTGTCAGAATTGATTGTTCAACTACTACTCCTTTCATAGTCTATCTTAAAAACGTTATTAAAACATAAATATTAAATTATCTGCGTTATTTTCCGCTTTAATCGATTTAAAATTATTTATATTTTCATGAAAATCACTTATTTGAACTAATAATTACATCTTTATATATTACAAGTAGGATCAAATATGTTTTACTTTAAAACTTGTTCAACTACTGGGTACTTTACCTTAATAGGTTTATATACTAGTGATCAACTTTGTAATTTGTATAAATTACTACAAATTAAGTAAGTTTTATAGCTAAAAATTAGTGTAGTTAAAAATTATCGAACGTTTTGAATTGAGTTTTTTTGATTTATAATTGAAAATTTACTTTGTCATTCATAAAAAATGTAATTAAAAAATTAAATACAAATATTTCTCATTTTTAAATGAACATATTAAATATTCATAGTATGATTTTTAATATTATTCAATAATATGTTATAATTCTATTGATATTTCAATAAAACGTTGAAAATTTTGGTTGTACCACGAAATCTCCCCACGACAAAATCTCCCCGACATAATCTCCCAACAGCAAAATCTCACTAAGAAAATCTCTCTTAACTAATTTTAAAAATTTATTATAATTTAAATATTTTATGATTATTTTATTACCTTTGCTTGTGACCGTGTTGCGCCCTTTTAACATGGTTTTTGTGTGTATATATTCGACATTAGACCAACACAAACGCGGATAATCGTGTTGCGCCCTCTTAACATGGTTTTTGTGTATGTTTATTCGACATTAGACTAATTCAAACGCGGATAATAATATTATAATTATTTTATTGCACGACTCATGATGCGAAACATCAGAGAGTGCTTTACGATCGAAAAATTTTTTTCACCCCATTTCGGCAACTATTTTCATCATTATAGTCTTGTTAGTTCACGGATTCAAGATATTTTGCATACTATTGTCAAGATAATTTAATGGAGATTAATTTGACACTTTTCAAAAATTGATTTAGTGCACTAGAAACGAAAAAAAACATCAAAATAGGTCAAAAAATTTTCCTGTCCGTCATTTATGGAACCCTGAAAACTCTCTAACACTTTAACTCTCTTAAACACTCTAACTTTCGAAACAATGCATCAATTTAATTAAATTTTTTTTTTTAATTCTTGGAGAGAATTGTAAGTCACTAAATGCGAATAAATGTACAATTAATAAAATAAAAAAACCACAAGACTGTATATCTATATATATTAGGGTGGCGCAAAAAAACCGACTATTTTTTTTTTTAGTCTCGAGTGAAAAAAATGTTAGTTTTTGATGTTTTAAGAGCCTACACCAAAGGACAGCTCAAAAAAAAATTATAAGCGGTTTATAAAAAATTTATAAGAGGTTTATAAAATTATACGATTCAAAAATCGTCAAAAATCGTCAAAAATTGAATTTTTTTTTTTTTAATTTTTTT